TGAAAAAATACTGCTAAACTGCTGCTAAGGACCTCAACCACCCCCACCACACCCATGACTTTCTCTAGTGTATGTCTCTACCTTTTTTATTTGCACAAATCATAATAATAATAATAATATACATAATATACATAATCATGTTAAGGTGATTTATAATGACTATGTGACTATGTCACACACATCCTAAAAAGGCTAAATGTGCTAAAAGTATTTCAAAATGTAAATCACTTTGCCAGCACTTTTTAGAGAACAAAATCTAAAGGCCAGACATTTTTTCTGTGTTGATGGGGGGGGGACCCAAAACATTTCAGCTGCAATATTGTCCACTGTGACAACAGCCATGAATGCATAGTAGAAGGTAAAATATTGAATTGTATTCAGAATGACCAGGTAATGACCAACACTGTACCAGTTATTTCTAAAAGCAATGCTGACAATTTTAAATAACTAGCTTAATGGATAATCTAGTAAAAACATATCTTTACAAAATGATTATTATACTGTATTTAATATGTGATTTCTTCAGCTAAATAAAAGTAACTACATATGGTTCAAACAGTTTTTATTGGGTTTATCTTTCCCAGATCAATCTGAGTTATATGCTTGAGATACTTTTATAGTGGAATTGTTAATTAGTGCTTTTAAGGAATTTTATTGAAAACATTTAAGAGTCTCATGAATCTAAGACCACAGTGTTGATGATTTTTGGAGCATCACTTGCAAGAAAATGTTTGAGGTAAAAGCGAATAACTTGCTCCTGCTCCACTGATTTAACTTGGTGTGTCTCACCTCACATCTTAAACTGGTGCTGATGCTCTGTTAATCTGCTGTTTTTCAGGAACCGTTGATTGGTGTGCCTCAAACTCTGTAATGGAAAATCGTGGTGAGTACCAATCTGCTCATTGTGGTTTGTGAAGTGCAGGGTTAATGCTGTGGAGAGAGCTGTACATCCACTGTGTTTATGGGGTCTGTCTGGCCTGTGCTCGCTTTATGAGCCATTCAGGAGTCCAGCTATACATCATCTCAACCTCAGGGCCTTATTGAGGATCAGCTTCCCCTCCCAAAGTTTTGCCTTTCAGGGATTTTCCCAGGTCGGCATAGGTCTGTGTGTTATGTGTGTGTCGGTGTGTGCTGAAGAGCTGGTTCAGTGAATATCTGTTGGGTCATTGTTTAAGTTACCCTTTTCTTTTCAAGTTTGACTTTAACAATACAAGTTGCTGTGTATTAAGTTAAAGCTGCAAGCAGCGATGAGCAGGCCCAAACACCTCCCACTCGTCGGGGTGTGCTGCACCCGCGCAGCTGTGGCGTGGTACTACTTCCTTCAATTCAGGCTGTGCTGCATCCGTGTATCCATTGTGTGCGTTCTTTCATTTTGAAGGGAGTTAAGCACAGCCGTTGAATAGTAGGTGGCACTATCATTGTAACAGAAGCTTGGCATGTAGATGGTTACAGGGCAGGACTTGAAGTTAACACGGCACATATCACACAGGTGATGTGTGGAAAATATCTGACAATGTGTGGTTGATGTGTCAGTTACTACTTCAATTCAAAGTGGCTGACTATCAGTGGGTTTAAAGGGACAGCTCTCAAAAAACAGCTTCCTGTTTCATGGCGAGTAATTACTCGCAAGGCTCCAGCATTTAAAAAGTATTCAAAAGTTTTACAATGTAACATCATTAAAGCATTATGGCTTTCCCACAAAAATTTTTATGATGGATGTGGTCAACCTGCTATGTGGAGCATATATTCCTCACTATGGGCATTTTTGTCCCTAAGGTGTTAGGTGTGGTAAAGAATTGAAGGTACCAAATCAGGTAAAGTTTGAAACATATCCTTTCCAAATGCCAGTACTTGGCACTATCATTAGGACTGGATATTGACATGCAAGTCTCTTAGGGGTTGACCCTGTGATTAGGGACAGATCTGACCATGTCTATCCCATTTACATACTATTTCCTTTTCATGGCGAATCATCAAAATTGAACGCCACGCCATGGACACACCGTTTGATCAATCAAAAAAAGCTTCGCAATTTAACATCACAAGGCCGTTAAGGTCACGCTTTCCACATTTAAAGTCGATTGGGTTAAAGCTCTAGGAGGAGGTTGTTAAAGTACTGAGCCTATAAACAAGGTAAGAAATTCAGTCCAATAGGGCCAACTTCCTGTTGGGTTTAGCATATGGCTCCAAGAGAAGTCCGGGCATTCTAAATGTGCCTACAAAATTCGGTAGCTCTAGTTGTAACACACAACCGGGGCTGCTCCTTTGAAATCTTGTAGGGGGCACTATAGAGCCGTTTTTTCCAAATGCCCTTGAACAGTATCAGACAACAGAACACACCCATTGTGATGTCTATGCAAGGTTTTGGGAGATTTCAAGCATCCTAAGCCTCTCAAAATTCATATTCCTGTTTCATGCCGAATAACGCGTTGCCATGGCAATGCCGTTTGACATTAAGTCACAAGCTTGACAACCTTACATCATCTAGGTCTTGAGGCTTTTTTGAGACTGGATCATCCTGTTTGGATGAGTACCGCAACAAATAAAACATGTCACTTCCTGTTGCCAGTAGGTGGCGCTTTCACTACGACTGGATGTAGATGTCTTCTTATCAAACATGTGAAGTTTGGGGCAGACCTGACCATGTTCTGCCAATTTACACAGTACTTCCTTTTTCATGGCAAATCATCAAAATTGAACGCCACGCCATGGACACGCCATTCAAAAAAAGCTTTGCAATTTAACATCGCAAGGGTGTTGGGATGGCACAGCCCGCATTTGAAGTCGATCTGATCATAGCTGCTGCTTTTAAACGCTCTCATGGCGACACTGATCCTTCCCTGTCTTGTAATCGCAGCAGCTATGAAGGAAACGAAAGTGTTAATCTAGATTATGTGTGTTGGTGGTTCACCACCACCTGTAGCTCTACAGTTCACCAGTTCCCTTTTGTAAAACTATATGTGCCACACAAAAAAAGGGCAATGACGGATGCCTGGACATACACAAAGCCATTCCTAGTGACTATCACTTCAAACTTCCTTCGGGCCACTTCATAATAAAAGCCCTGCACAGTTCTCGTTAATACAAGATACAAAAATAGACAAATATCTACAGGTGTTTTGTAAGTGTTGAATTTTCATTAAAGGAATAGTTTGACATTTTGGGAAATACCCTTCTTGACAAAAGATAGATGAGAAAATCTTGTACCACTTTCATGAAGCTACAATCACCACTTAACTTAGCATAAAAACTGGATACAGGGAGAAACCGCTAATCTGCGTCTGTCCAAAGCCAACAAATTCTGCCTTCCAGCACCTTCATTTGTTTACCCATAAAATTAACAGGCGCGGGGTTATTTGCCAGATGATTTTTTATTTTTATTAGTTGGCCAGGTGCAGTCACTTACAGGTACATTACCTTTGGACAGAGCCATGCTAGCTGTTTCCCCCCTAGTCTATCAAGACTCAGCAGTGACACAGAGCTTTATAGCACCATCTATAGTGTATGCATCTGCCCATTTTGGACGTGTATGTGTGCACCTACCTCAGTCTGCCTGCCCGCCTGCTGAAGTGGCCTGGCCCAGTCTGTTATCCAGGTCAGGCCAACAGGTTCTGGGCTCATGCGGATTGGCTCAGCTCTCTCTGGAAGCCGGCCCGGTGTGGAGGCTGTATGTGGGGCACAGGGAGAGAAAAGGAACGCTGTTGAACACATTAGCTCTCCATCTTTAGAAACCGCTCGAGATGCCGCCAAAACGCTCAGAAAACTCTGATCCGTCCAGGCATAGTGACACAGCTCAATGCTCTGGATTCCTCTGAGGAGCAGTTGGACAAGGTTTTCTGAAGACACACAAACCTCAAAAGGAGTCAAAGCGCTAATTCAGGAGGTCCAGTCCGCACTCCCCTTTTCTCTTGTAGTTAAGAGAAAGCAGTCTCTTTTCCTTCCTTGCTCTGCCTCTCTATATTCAAGCCCCAAATAGGGCAGCTCTTCTTGGCAAACATGTTTCAAAGTCATGCTAATGCCCCTAAGACTGTTCAAATTGCGATAAGAGACTTGGAGATGTGCATGAAAAGGTGTCTGGAGGCATTAAGAGAGGTGAGCAGCATGATAAACACCCCCGCTGTAATACTGAACAACAGTAGTAGTAGTAGTAGTAGTAGTAGCTTAATATCAGCGTGCGTGATGGACATAGAAACAGCAGCGTGTTGTTCTTCCTATTTGTCAGATCGAATTATGATCCTTCATTCCACCTTTAACAAGTTCAGTGTCATAGTAGCAGCTGTAATTCTGCTGGGATTCTTCTCTATTGTTCATGTTCAAATGTCGAGAGGGAGCAGCATCTCGGACACACTTGGCCTTTACTCAGCTCCCACAAAACGTCTGTGATCTTGTCATGACTGAGGGCATTGATTTAAATTGCTCCAATTTTTGTTAACTCCATCCTTCAAATGCAGACTAAATTAAGGTTTTTGTTTGCCAGGTAAGACGCATTACTAATTAAGAAAAGCTTATGCAGATACAGTCTTCTGTTCTCCTTGTCATCTCAGTGCTAGGAAGGCAAGAAAATACTGACACCAGTGTGTGAGGCAGAGGATTGTTTTCAGGGCACACAATGTGGTCTGAGCTCTGAGGTTTTAAGTCTAGTTTTTTTTTTTTTCTCTGCGTTGGTTAAATCTTTTTTAATGTTTGGCTTGCATCAGAGTGTTGGGATCACACATGTCCTTGTTCTCTTGAGACCCACTGCACCACATATCATACATTACATTGTATATACATTATTGGATGTACACATTGCACCACATACCACAGCATACTCATCAAATTGAAAACATAACTCGTCCTTCTCCCAGGAATGGTAGGCATCTTTCAGTGAATGCTGACCTGTGCTGTGAGCCAAGGAGGGAGGGTCAGTAAGCGAAGGGGAGAGTGAGTCCAACTCCTTGAGGGAGGGAAGGTCTTAAGAAGATTGCGAGAGGGAGGGACGGGGGAAGGACTGAACTGAAAGGCGTAGAGGAGAGAAACGCAGAGAAGAAGAAAAGACATGAGACAGAAGAGACCAGTGGGACTTTGAAGAAAGAGAAAGGCAGGTGCAGCTGCTGATCTGTCCAGGGGTGGAGTGCACACGTTTCTGGGTGCAAGACAGGTAGAGGCCCCTCAGGGGCTGGATCATGGGACAGAGCCTTCGTGTTGAGACCCCAGCTCAGGACCCACAACAACACAACAATGGCGGTGAGTTTCTGGACTCACTCATGCAATCTGTTTGTACTTTCCACAGTTATGCATTCCTCAACAGCAACATATACAGCATGCAATTAGTTTACTATTCTTAAGGTTGTCATTGATTCGAAGCATAGAGGAGAGATGAGTGTTGGAGATTGTATAATCAACTTTGTGCAGTGTCCTCTCTCTCTCTGCCCCCCTCCCTTCACTTTTCACCACAAGGAATGTTAAATCATTGGGATCATGTGGATGAATCTCAGCTGTGTTTTTACACACTCATGCATGTGTTGCGCACTTATTTTTTATGTTGGTGCACAAGACAGTTATTTCAGTGTTATTATGGGGTTATTAGAAATGGAGGTTGTGTCTGACTGTGAAAGGTTTTACATAAACTCCTAAATTTTCCCCCTTTGATGGTTGCAGTTTAAATGTACTGACCAAATTAATCTCATCATCCCCTAATGGTATTTATTTAACTTACTGCTACTATGATCTTGAGTTTTAAATGGTTCAATGATTTTAGGCTACACAAGATTCCACAAGAAGCAAGCACTGTGATTATAACCTCTTTGTGCTCTCATTTAAGTAGATTAAAATTCATAATCTGGCCTGGCAAGGGTTGGGGTTATAATGATGTTGGAGGTATTTCCCAACTGTTGCACCCCGTGGAAGGGGGCGTCTTATGTAAGTGATCAGGATGGCTCGGCTAAAGGTCGGGTCCTTTTAAAACAATAATATCCTGTAAGCACATGCTCACCTGACCAGGCCTGCCGTGACTCATTGAATCATGAGGTTAGAGGGAAATCTGGCCTCCCTGGTAGATGTCTGAGAGTGGTAGGTGTGGCTTCAGGATAGGGGTACGTCAGAGGAACTCACACTCACACACACATACACCCAGTGTCACCAACCCCCATGTTTCCTGACTGGGATGCCTTATCTTGGCAGAGCTGGTGATTACAGAGCATGACTGTAAGAATTCTGGTTCTGGCCTTGTTCTGAATGGAAATATGTTTTGTATCGTCTAGATCTGTTAACAGTTGGTATATTAATTAGTTTCACTGGTGTCACAGTGTTGAACCTTGCTGCCACTGTGTTTCCATGAGCAGTACAGTGGACTGTGTTATTGCATGTGAGGGGAAGAGGTTGTCTTTGTTCTCGGTCATAGAATCAGGGTGGAGTGCCGTTTCCTCCCTGTGTTTCCAGGCTTCCCCCCCTCACAATTCCTGTACTTTTTCTCTCTTTGTAGCTCTTTTTTTTACCCTTTACTCTTATTCCCAGACCCAAAGTCACACACAGCTGCAAGTGCCACCACACAATGGATGTCTTCTCACACTTTAAGTTGAAACAATGGCATGTTGGATAGTTTTTCTCTGTATCTGTGAAGAATTATTTTGAGTGGATCCACAGATCTCTTGGATGTGATAATTGTGTTGGATGTACTGTATTTTTTGTCTTTTGGATTTTTGGTGCCGGTGGATTGACACGCTTTAAGATCAAGCATCGCTGGCTAATGGATACGTCTGCCAAGGATATGGTCAGTCGTCTTTTTCGAAAAGGGGTCTGCTGCATGGGCTGAGTCCTCTGCGATCGTCATCTCTCTGCAGTGCTTTGGAGTGTGCAGGCCTGGCACAGGCAGCTCTTATCCTGCTTCACTGGCTTCAGCTGAGCCACTGTGTCGGGGGCTTCTCTGACAGAGCAGTCTGCTGTGTGAGAATCTTAGTTCTGGTTCATAGGGAAGCTGCCTTAAGCAATGCTTAATCTGGATGTTATGGCAGCTGGTCTGAATCCTCAGATTTCTACCACGCCAAGATAAGCTGGATTTCCATGGTGCGGACATGTCCCTTGAACCCGGACCCTCCTTGCTGTAGTTTCAAAGAGCTCTCTGCAACTTGTCTTTCTGGCATTTTCTGGTGGGATACATACAGGACAGTTGATTTTGGGGTTGCCGAATGCTCCGTGCTTTCCCATGGCATGCTGTTTGAAGTCCCGCCACCACGGAAGCTGGACACTCAACACCCCTCTTCCAGGTATTAGGTACTAGTGTCTGTTGTTTTAAAGGCTTGTCAGGAATCTAACTTTTCAGGATAACAGCGAAGCCAAATCTTTGAATTGGCAGTAGTGCATGAATCTGAACAGCTCTGATTTGAACACTTTTGAAAGTGGTTGTCAGGCTTTTAAACACTGTGTAAGCATTCAGTTCAAATTTTACCCTGCCAGCAGCATTGAGGATACCGTGTGGAGTAGCGGTTAAAGACTCTGTCCTTCAGCTGCAAAAAGTGGGTTTGAAACCTGTGTCAGCAACCATCCACCATGCTAAAATGTCCCCAAGCAAGATACTGAAATCCTGCCAGCTCGAGGGGCGCTGGTCCGTAGCTAACCCTGATGTCCCTGCTGTGTGTGTCAAACAAAGAGTCAGTTTCCACTCAGGAATGATATTATTGTTGTTATTATGTTTCTATGTTCAAGTATTGTGTGACAGCATATTGTTATTGTTGAATCGGACTGCAAGGCATTATTGTTTTCGAGACTTCCTGTGTGTGTGCATGGACCTGGATATTTTAAATCGGACCCTATTCTCTCTCCACTGGTAAATATTATGTCTGCTGAGTACAGCAGCTGCAGCCTTGAAAGAGCTAATGTTTGAAACTCTCTCTGAGCTCAGCACCCTGTCAGTTGGCCTGTCAATCACGTAATGCAGAATTCCATTACATGGAGTACTTTAAGCCTTAATGGCATCTTGTAACGACCGGCGTTCTTTAAAATGTTTCACTTCTTGATTGTTGGCTGTATGTATAGTATCACAACTGACTGTTTTTTCTGCTAATGTATGACTGCATCCATGTGTGAGCCTCTCCTCTCTATAGAGGCAGTGAGTGCTGAAAGGCTGATAAGGCACCAGTCTCCATCCTCCCAAGGAATGTGAGCACTTGACAGTGAGAAATCCTGGCTGAGTGCCATCATCAGACCTCTCTTGTTAACTGTGGATATGTGGAGGAGTCCATGAGCTCTCAGCATCACCCTGCCAAAGCACACTCAGTCCCCGAGAACTAGCAGCTAAAGATAATAACAGCCGTAATGAGCATGGCCCTCTTTACACAGGCAGCAGATGAGCTCAGTTAGAATAGAAAGATTCTATACTCAATCATTTGTGTCTTGCACAAATCTTGTTCAAAGTGTTTATATTTAATTGTGGCTTTTATTTTAGATGATGAAGCTGAGCAGCACCACAGCACTCTGGTGGGAGAGGGGGGCAGCACGGGGGGCAGCACCCCTAAGCGGAAGGGCAAGTTCTCTACCCTTGGCAAGATCTTTAAGCCGTGGAAGTGGCGGAAGAAGAAAAGCAGCGAGAAGTTCAAGGAAACGTCAGAAGGTTTGTGGTGTGAACTCATTGTGTTTGTAGCCTTTCCTAAATTTTTCAGTGCACCTACAATAACACAGTAGGCTGCAAACAAAACATCCTGTTGACTGCAGCGCTCGAAACTTTAATCTTTGTATTATGAGGTCACACGCCAAATGTGACACATTTTTACTGCAGTAGTGTTTCCTCGTGGAGATCTTGTGTGTAACAAAAATTCTGCTTATTGACGGCAGAGCTGGAGAGAAAGATGTCGACGAGGCGTACGCGGCAGGAGCTTATAGAGCAGGGAGTGCTGAAGGAGGTCCCGGACAACGGTAAGAGTGCTCCTGTGATTCATCATGTCTGCACAACGGTGTCTATCTGACAGCAGTGGCCCCTTAGGCTATCATGCCCCCACAGACAGTACAGTTAAGTCATCAGTACGTTTATAGCACCATCCACAGGGCACATCATTCTCTGCCCACTTTGGACATGTATGGTCCTCCTAACCACCAGGTGTCTGACATATTTAAAAAAGGCAAATTTACTTTCACCTTGCTGTTTTTTCAAAGTAATGTAATATCTGTTTAAAATGGCATGCCATTCTCCAGAGCTGAGGGAAAGTGGAACGAATTGTGCCCTGCAGCGAAATAGCTTTGAGAGGGGTGTGTGCAAGCGCAATGCTGGCCCCACTGTTGCAGAAGCCCATTTATTAAACCTACAGCTGCTCCTTCATCACACCAACAAACACAGACTCTGTCTACAGGGCTTGGGTTGATAGCACCTTCCTTTTTTACTGTACAACAGGGCTGCAACTAAAGATGACTTTCATTATTGATTTAATCTGTTGTTTGTTTTTTTTTCAATTAATTTCTCCTTCTATAAAATGTCAGAAAATGGGGAAAAATGCCCATCACAGTATCTCGAAGCCCAAGGTGTCGATTTTAAATGACTAGATCTTATATCCAGAAGAGATTTGCCATTTTTCCTTGATAAATGATTAAAAAAACAAAATCACAAAAAAATAGTAAAATTTTCAGTTGATCAACTAATGATGATTAATAGATCATTAAGTAATAAATCGTTTGATCACTAGGTTCAAGAAGGAGAATAAAGTGCAGTTAGAATAAACTACCAAAATATTTTACAATATCAAACAAAGACATTTCCAGTATAAAACATCTTGAATAATTTAGCTTGAATAAATATTTAGTATTTAGTTTTCTGCTGGCGCACTTGCTTGATGACCGAGAATAGTGCTATAATTATGTGTTACAGCTGTGCATTCACCAATGTTCTTTTGTTCGACTTTTTCAGATACAGATACACAAACCCTGAAGCAGCCCTACGTGAAGAATGGCCACACTCTGCCTGTGAGCGCTGGGGTCGGAGGAGGTGGAGGAGTCGTGGGCAGTGGCAGGAGCCCATGCAACCAGGGCAAACCCCCCTCAGAGTCGGACTTTAGGATGAACCCTGCCTGGCTCACCCAGCCAGACGACCGCAGGGGCCGCTCTCCCTTGGATGGAGATCGGCGGGGAGCTCCAGGCTCCAGGGGCATGGGACTGCATGAAGACGGTTGGAGAGGGGGAGGGATGGGGCCTCGTGCACATGTTGAGGGCGAGTGGAAGCCTAACATGGTCTGGCAGGGCCAGATGGAGGAGGGCAGACGCGGGGGCCGAATTCATCCTGACGACGGGCAGAAGAGGCCCGGGCTGCAGAAGGCCCCATCAGAGGACGGCAGGAGGAGTCGGCCTGCGGAAACGGACTGGAAGCCTACTCTCCCTCGACATGCATCTGCTGAAGAGGGAAGGGCCTGCAGAGGTGAGTCATTTCCAGCATTTTTCCTCCTGCCATCTGAGATTTTGAAAAGCTGTAATCATAAGATCCCTGTTGAGTTCTCCTCACTGTGAGAAAGTCGTACATGTTTGAAGAACAGGCAGGCAATATATTTTTTTATACTCCTTCTTGCTGTTGCTCTCCTGCTTATATGCTTGTCCTCCCAGATATAGACAGGCTCCTGTCAGCTCCCAGGGGCCCTGCTCCAGCTCCGCTTCTTATTCAGGAACATGAGGGAATAGCTCGTCCTCTCTTCTCCTCTCCTAATTAATGTGGCACGATCACTATACCCATTATTGCCCTTAACGCTAACACCGTCAGCTCAGTGATAATTGGTGAAGAGCCACAGCTAATTGATTTTACTGAAACATTACGCTTTGAGAAATAATGGCGTTTTTGGATGTTTTTAGATCTCAGTTGACCAGTTATCACTTATCTGACACAGGTACACAAGTATGTCAGTAAGATGAGAGGTAACCTAAATGATCCACTTGTGAAAGTTAGGTTACAGCAACATAATCCTATTGAAAACGCCAATGCAGAACTATTGTTAGAAAAGAGAGAAGTTTTCTATCGACAGATTTGCTTCGTGTGTCCCTGCTCGGCTCTTTCCTCTGTCTCACCTTGTATTTTCCTTTTTTTTCTTTCTTTCTCTCTACGATGCTGCTTTCTCTCTCCCTCTCCCACTCTCTTTCTATCTATATCACATCTCCTGCTTTCTGTCCTCCTTTTCTCTCTCATCTCTGTTCTTCATGCTCACTTCCTCCTTTTCCTCTGGATTATTTCCTCTTTGGTTACATGACGTCACAGTGATAAAAGCATGTCTGTAAATAAATAGCCCTGAACTTCAGAGCTGCAGCTTTGAGGAATGGCGCGGGAGCCGCAGCAGCAGCAACAGCATTGGCAGCACTGCTCGGAGGCTGCATTGTGGTGGGCAGGGGGAGGTGGGTTTTGGTGGTAATTGCAGCCGCCTACTCTGTTTATCTTCACAGCTGATCCCTAGATAATGCAATTCTCAAACAAGTGCTATCACAGAGAATGCTTTGAGTGGTGAAGCAGCAGAAAATGGCTCAGCGCTAATTCCCTCAACTGAAACATTTATAGGCGCGTTAGAGACATATTTCATAATTGGATATTACTAATTCAATAATGAAGAGATAAAAGTACACTACACCGCAGCGGGACACAGATTTTAAAGTGTTACTGGAATTGTATTAAAATGTCTCAATCTCAGTTGAATGGAGCACTGTAGTAATTTTAACTTTTCTTATATCACATGTTGTCACCGTACTGTGTTTTCACAGAGTCAGACAGCCATTTTGTCCCTGACCCAGAAGCCCTGCGGGACACCCTGCGTGAACCTCTGCCACCTAAACAGACCGTCATGCCTCCAAAATGGCTGATGAGCTCCACCCCTGAACCTGGCTGCAAGGGTCCACCTCGCACCCCGTCCAACCACCCCACAACCCAGTACCCCTCTCCTTCCGCCCCCAAACCTGTTCGGTCCATCTCGTCTGCGGGTGCGTCCACTCAGCAGTCTTCATCTGTAGCGCCGACCTCCACCTCTCAGGGCACCAAGCAGCCGCCTGTGCCCCCACCCAAGCCCGTGAACAGGGGCAACGCCACCATGCTGGGTAAGTTCTGCTGAACTGTGAGGGTTCCTGTTAACAGGTGATGATGGAGGGTATCAACAAGATCACATGCAGCCCACACCAACTGTCACAAAATGTACTTTATGAACACTCTAATGTCTGCTCAGTTAGCATGGAGTTTTCCCTCTGGCGAATACAATATGCACTTTTATGAGTCCGTGCACAACTGATGGCAAAGAGAAGACTTCAACACAGCACACAAACATACACTATCCCATACACACACATCCTGGTAATGATGTTATCTGAACAGCTTGAGCAGCTTTTCCCCAGCTAATTACTTATTACGCCTGGACTATTTTTGCTGCGACTTTTCCCCAGCATTTTACACTGTGAAGATAACTGGGACTCTTGTGGCTGTGGAACGCTGCTTGCACAGATGCAGTGTACTGGTTGTGGTTGTTGTTGTTGTTTACTGTGGCTTTCGTCTCATCTGGGATATTGCCTTAATTCCCACTCGGGCAAGACCATCTTGGATTCATTTTAATCTTAACAGCAGATCTGGGGCCTCGTTTATGAAACTGCGTAGGATTCTCGTCAAAAGGTTGCATAGGACGCAAATTCCGATTTATCACACGCTGACTTCCCTTTATAAATCACAGTTAACTCGAAAGTTGATGCACGTGAGCGAGCTTCTTGTCCAACCCTTTTAACACCCCCATAGTTACCAATAGTCAGCGAAACGCCATTAATAATTACTGACTGCATGAAGACAATGATGGCAAATTCTGACAGAGATAAAATAAATTTTACCCAGAGTGAAGTTGAAGTTGTGTTGGGCAGATTGAAGCAGAAGATATCATTTGGTGGACAAAAGGCGCACACGAACAGTTTAAACCAGAGGAAAGGGGAGCTCAAACAGACCTTGACCCCCTTGATGAGCGGCCTGCAAGAATGAGAATCCCTGCTGAGTAGCGACCAAGGTAGAGGGACACACAGATATACAAGACGCACTGGATGATCCAGGTATATAAATTGTATTCCCTTGTTTGAATAAAAGTAAACCAAATGCATTCAAGTTGTGCTTAAACATTTATTTACGCAAACAAATTAGACCTTTTTTATTGTTTTTAGTGGCTGCGTGTTCCAGCTGGGTCGTTGTTGCTGCAGCTGAGCAGAAACTGACTGCTCCAAGCCCCGCGTCTCCACAGCACCTCCTGTGTCTCAACTCTCCAGCAGCCGTGTAGATGCAGTTCTGCAAATGCAAAGAGATTCCCATCGACTCAATTAATGAGGCTGCAGAGGAGTTAAAAAAAAATACGACTTGTTTTATGTGACATAAGCTGTACACTGGAAGATGAACTGGAACTAGTTAATAAATAGTGTTATATTTTTCCATACCGTGTTTTTTTGTTTGTTTGTTTGTTTTTTTACACAAGAAATGCATCACATTCGCACACAGGAGCACGGTATTGGGCTCAAATGCCTGGGGATCGGGCAACGAACACGCGATAAGAATATATGAAATTATGCACTCATATTTTCTTGACTGAGGCATAAAAACAAGGCATCTGTTTAAATGTAATTTATCCTACTGTTCGCCTTATTTCTGAAAATAAATTTTGTAGCACGCCAGTATTAATTACAGATCAAATGAAATAGGATTCACGATTCAACTTATTCGAGGAGTTCTTTTGCAAAAACAAATCTCTTTTTGTGTGTATTATCCTAAATCATGATTTTTGGTTTGTCCAGATTATCTATTAAAAAGGTGTTTGTTAATTAATTTTAAGGATGGCTTTTATCTGTTTTTGCAAGCAGTTGTAGTTTAATACATTAGAGATACATTTCTATTTATTTTACACAATGGTATCAATGGTTCTGCCATCTGATTCACAGTTTATCATTCCTCCATCTGATGGTCATGTGAAATTCAAATGGAGGGAAAATATTAAAAGATTTCCTGTTGGTTGGCTACATGAAACTATATTGCTTTTAATTATTGGCAGGTTGAGGGAGAATACAACTATAGGTAGACCAAGAGTAGACCAACCAGGAATCCAATTTAGAGAACAAAAATCTGTTAATGCAGTTTTGACATTTTAACAAAATTGTCCATGAAGTAAAAGTTTAGAGGAATAGTTTAACCTTTTTTGGAAATGCACATTCTAAAGTTAGATGAGAAAGTCAGTACAACTCCTATCTTTCTGTTAAATATGAAGCTACCTCCTGGAGATTTTTTTTTATTTATAGTTTTTTTATGCACTAAATAAGATACTGAGTTCTGATAGACAGGTTTCGTTGCCTTCAGCCATGGTCAGCCTAGCTGTTCCCTGTTTATTTAGCTAAGCTAAGCTAACTCGCTCCTGGTCGTAGCTTCATACTTAACAGACATGAACTCTTGGCAAGGAAACAAGCGTGTTTATATTCCTTAGAGAAGGACGACAATAGTACTTTAAGAGGATGGTTGAATGACAGAATGATGAGCATTTAGGGCAACAACACCTCTCCCTCATAGTACACTCTATCTGTACAACAACTTACACAGTACCACCATGTTCCTGCATACATTAAACACTCCAGCTGAAGGCCTCCGTCTCCTCCCTGTTAGTCTCCGCCCTGCAGGGGGGAGAGAACGCTCAGCTTCCTCTCTACTGGTCCTGCTGGAAGCGAGAGTGCGACTACGATGTCTACCTGTCCCTGCCCGTCTACCTGTGCCGGCGGGCTGGAGGCCTGCGCTCAGGTAAAAGGATGCCCCCCAGTATCTTTGTGGCCATGGTGCCCGTGTCTGGAATGCCCCCCACCCCTCTTCAGAGTCTGCGTTCTTCATCGTGTCGCGTCCTTTCTAGCTGCCAACATATTTTCCCCCAATGCCTATAACTTGTTAGTTATGCAAGAGTCGCATGCACATAATAAGCCAATAACGAGTGTGCTGGGTGCTTTGTGTGTATGAGAGACAGCTCCTGTGTGAATGAGCAGTTGAACGCTGTACTTATTCGGCATGTGAATAAGGGAGAGCCTTTATCAGGTTCCAGCTGTGGCCTGCAATGCATCAAGTGAATTTAATAGCACTAATCCACTTAGCTTTTGATCAACTGGGATGGATGGGTGGATATGAATGGAGGGGCGAAAGGGTTCTAACACATGGGCTTAACTTAATTTGGAGAGGAAGATATAATCCAGTTCTGTCTAGTCTACTGCATGTTTCAAGTCTGGCAGCCATCTCTGTTTATCCTTCAGTAGCACGGCTATGGCTTTTAAGATTGATGTGGCTTTAAAGTTGTTTAAGAATTATATAGCAAATATATATTTTCATGTGCATGCAAATAATTGGAGGGTTTGCATCTGAGCTTTTTGTTTAGGAGCTTTTTGCACTTTAAAAGATGCCAATAAACAAGGTTTGGAAGAGCGTATAGGATGGGTGTATCTTCACCTCTGTGACCTGGGGGCATATGCTGCACTCTGGTTTGTCAGGGCAGCGTGTGCACTCATGTTGACGCAGCTCCTGTAATATGCAGTACTGCTCTGTCAGACATGTAATCCCAGTATTTCTATTTATTCATGTGTATTCTGTCATGTAGGGTGCATCATATATGTAGAGCTGATGCATGTGCAGTCATGTCACAGCGGCAAACTGGATAGAAAAATAAAGCACTTGGTAGCAACTCACTCGCAGGCCTAAGCTGTAGCTATTTTGCTTTATGATTGGATGTTAACTGTTTTGTTTCTTCCGTTTGCAGGTGACTTCACCCAAGCCGCCGGCGGTGCCAGTCTTGTGCCTGCCAAGCCCTCTCCACCGATGCCTCCTAAGAGGACCACACCCATCACCAAGCGCAACACAGAGGACTCCACTGCTCCATGCCATCCCATCAGCCCCTCACCGCTTTCTCTGGAGGACCACAGCAACCTCACTGTGGGCTTCCAGCTGCCTCCCCCTCCTCCCTCCCCTCCCCTGCCAACACACAGACCACCGTCTCCGCCCCGCCAACACATACACAGCCACCACCTCCACCATCAGCACTCCTACCCCCACCCACTGCCGCAACCCATACCGATGCTGTTTGACCCACCGAGCCCGACCATTGAGTCGCCTCAGCGCCCAGCTCCTGTCCCGCTGCATATCATGATCCAGCGAGCCCTGTCCAGTCCCGGCCCGGCTCAGCCACATCCAGACGGGTCACAGCGTGCGCACACACTGCTTTTCGAAACCCCTCCAGAGTACCAATCAGATCGTGGTCGCCCCCTTCCTGTCAGCATCCAACCACTAAAACTGTGAGTTTATAATAATTTAAGGATGAAATGAATTTGTAGAACAAAGGTATTCTTTCAAGACAAAATCACCAGTGGGATATGTGTCTCCTGTTGAGGCATGTTCTGTTGACGGTTGGATATATACATTTTAATTTGGTGAAACTAGTTTAAAACATGTCAGTCTTGCTTAATCTGTATCCATAGTGTGTGTGTGTGTGTGTGTGTGTGTGTGTATAGATTTATTTATTTATTTATTTTCCCTTTCCATTAGACCTGAAGATGACTACTCAGAGGAGGAAGAAGAAGAGGAAGACGACGAGGAAGAGGAGGAGTATGATGGGGAGATCCCTCAGCCAGAGCTGGAGCCGCGGAGTCGCAGATGCTTCGTCGGAGACGCGGGTGTTTGTGTCATCCCAGGGGGAAACAGCAGTGAGGAGGAGGAGGAGGAAGAAGAGGGAGGAAGAGGATGAGGAAGGAGAGCATGACATGCATGGGCAGGACAGCGACTCAGACGGCTCTGTGCGTTATAAAGATGAAGATGAAGATGAGGAGGATGAGCCCCCACTTAGTAAGCATAACCATATTTTATGAAAAGACAAAAAAGAGTTTTGTAAATCTTTGCATGTTTTTTTTCTCCTCCCCACCTGAACACATCTCTGCTTGGCTTTTGTCCAGGTGCCCTGGCCAGCAGGGTCAAGAGGAAGGACACCTTGGCTCTGAAGCTGAGCAGCCGTCCCTGTGCCCCAGAAAGGGACAGGTTTACCCAGGAGAGGAGTAGCAGAGACGACCAGCCTCCAGGACAGGCCGGCCTCACCTGGCAGAGCAGGGAGCAGTGGGAGGCCATCCGCACACAGATCGGCACTGCACTCACAAGGTAGACAGACGTCATGATACTTACATGCGTATTCCATTTCCTTTGTCTCCTAACTGACAAGGGTGAATGTGCATTTTCTGAAGAAATCAGGAGATCATTTCTTGGATCTTTGTCCTACTTACTGCCTGAATGACAAAGTGGTGAAACTGTGTAAAAATAGTCCTGCTCTTTTTTTCCCCTACTTCAGGCGACTTAGCCAGAGACCTACTGCTGAGGAACTCGAGCAAAGAAACATCCTTCAGCGTTAGTATCAAGATTCTTTCCTTTTCACCTTTTGTTATCCATTACTGAAGTTTATAATGCCTTCACAAAAAATAAGGGATTCTGATATGTGTCTTTTTGACTTGTTTAGACACATTTTATTGTGAGCTTTAACAAACATCACCTCAATTCAGACTGATGATTTGTCAGTGTCTTGTGCTTGTTTATCTAAATAAATCCACACTTTTGAGCCAGGTCTTCACAATGTGCAAAATAATAACATTTTATACATGCAGTAATAGCAAGAATGTAAACTTGAAAAGACTTACTTACTGTTCAGATGTCTAATTCTGGAAACTGCTTTTACTCTACCTTCAGTGAACATCAAGCCAGGCTTTCATGCAGCTTCTATATAAAGCTCCCTCTCTTTTTTTATTTCAGCCAGAAATCAGGCTGACAGACAAGCTGAGGTTAGAGAGATCAAGCGGCGGCTGACCAGAAAGGTGAGGCAACACAACCACAACAGACATGTGTCTGATCATGTATTTGCTGGATATTAAACAAAAACACAAAAACTCTGTTTTAGCTGAGTCAAAGACCCACAGTTGCAGAACTACAGGCAAGAAAAATCCTGCGGTTCCACGAGTATGTGGAAGTCACAGATGCCCAAGACTATGATCGGAGAGCAGAGAAGCCATGGACCAAGCTGACTCCTGCTGACAAGGTACCTGCTCAGTTTGCCATCTCCAGCGAGCACTTAACATACCCAATAAATGCATCCAACAGATCTCCCTGTAACGGATATTATGTGTTTCAAAGTGTGATGTTTAGTGTGATTTCTTTTACATTCACATTGTTCTGATCTCTTTCCTGTTGTTTCATCTAGGCGGCCATCCGGAAAGAGCTCAACGATTACAAGAGCACTGAAATGGAGGTTCATGAAGAGAGCAGAATCTACACGAGGTATACCTTTTATCTGTTGGATCTTGGTATTATAATCCTTCAGATATCAGTCCTGGTTGCATTGCCCGTGGTAACCGTGGTAACGGCAAGTCCGTTGTAATACTACAGCAAGTACTCTTGAGTTCAGCTACTCTGTCAGAAGTACAACAGAAGAGCAGCTAGTATATCTGTTTAAAGCACAACCAAATGAAGTCATGTTTTTAGTTGATAATTGCCCTATTTCCATCGTCCAATGAGCACACGGGGCGAGTAGTTTTCAACACCAGGCTAAGTAAAAGAAGTTCATTACCTTGCCAAGAAGGAGGTGTGCAGCCTGTAACTCTTCATTCAGCTCACTGTGGCTTTTATTTCTTGTCCATTTCTCCCTGCAATGTTTAAAACTACCGAAATACAGAAAATGACTTACATCTTGTTTTGTCGCCGCTTCTTTGACAAAGGATTGCTGTGAGCTCTGACCTCTGTGACACATACATTGTGTTTCCTGTGACTGTTTCACAATAAAAGCCACGTCGTGTTTCACCTAAGCACTTTTAATGTGAAGCAGCAGCAGAAATGTTGGGTTTGCATGAGCAGTAACTTATTGCAGCTCTGATACACATAAACAGGTGAGACTGATAGCAGTGAGATAACATTAAAAAGAGTAACAGATTAGTTTCCTGTGGATCCCTCCTGCATGTGAAGGCAAATTTAATCCAGCACGGGAATGGTGGACCCTGCCATTAACGATGGAAACTACTGTATAGTCGTAATTACAGAATGTAAATATATTGGGGGTGCTGTTAGCTCACTTGCTACATTTTGATCACCATGTACGAGGCTCATCTCTCGGCCCTTTTGCTGCATGTCATCCCCTATCTCTCTCCCACATTTCCTGTCTCTCTTCAGCTGTCTCTGTCAAATAAAGGCAAAAAAAGCCCCAAAATGAATGGAAATATGTTGAATGGGTGTTGCTGAAAAACCTAAATTGTAACACTGTAACTGTAACTTTAAGCAGAACATGTATGTCTGTTCATGCCTCATGAGATCTCTTTGTTTTGTTTAGGTTTCATCGGCCTTAGCATCCCTCCTCTTCACGGATAATGAAGCACTTAAGATATCTGTGTGGCAAGAAGCTGCTCCCTATGCAGACAGATCGCCCTTTTACCTTTCCCGAATGTAATGTACAGATTATCAGGGAAAGCCTGGAACCGACTCAAAACAAGAATGCTTCTCGCTTGCCCTCCATCGCCCTCCCTCTACATTGCTTTCACTAAATCAAGGTGGTGATGGTGGTGGGTGAGGATCAGATGCAGTATTTCTCCCGGACGACAGGGGGAACCACGTGCCAATGAAGTGGAGAAGTGGCAGAGGACCTACAGGGCTAACTCTCAGTCTGCTGTTATGTGGTACCCCTCAGGGACTTGGATCTAGTTACAACCTTTAATGCGGCCTCATTCTGTGTTGCCTTTTTTCTTCTTTACTGTATATGGAAAAGCTAATTCATCTTGTTAATGTCATAACATATAATAATAATAGTAATAATTATGATGATGACTTATAATACTCCACACAGTAATAATAGATAATAGAGACAAACGACTGATGCGAGAGCGGGCTGGAGGATGAAGACTGGGATATTCTGTTATAGGACTGGACATCTCTGGGATATTGTGTATGTTTTCTATAAATTGTGTACAGACTGCTATTATACCTTAGAATGGAACTTGGAACGATCTAATTACAAAATATTCTGTAATGCACAAGATATTTTATATTGTAATTTTGATCACATGGGTAGTGACAGCTTTTATTTGAGCCTTTTTTTAAATTTGGCTTGCCTGTATTTATGGTTGTGATGTGAAGTGGCCATAGGATACTGGTTTTCATATTACTGATTTCTGCATGAGCCAAGACAGAATCCAATGCCATTGGATCTGGATAATCTCTCTTCATTTATACTTTTTTTTAATGAGTTTTTGTACTTCCCTTTAAAGTTCAAACATGCAATGCATTCTGTAGCCATTTCAAATAAGGTCATGCTAATAGAGTCTATACTAAGAGTTAAATGTAAGTTGCTGTGAGTGTAGATCAGGGAATTATCCAAAAAATCAGAAAACGTATAAACGGTCAACAGGGAGTCATTTTGGCTGGAATCTTTTGAAACTGCAGATGTGTTTTATCTTGTATTGTTGTTTGGCCAGTAGCTTACAGGGTTCTCTATGCTGTGTACAGGTTGAGATAGGTTTAACTGATACTTGTGTATATCTTGTCTTCCTTTCATTTGAAAAGAAATTTTAAATATAAAAGTATTATAGGTTGCTATTTTTTTAAGCACAGAATATTAGTTAATGATTAAATGCTACAAGAATGGGAATATGAAATATGAAGCCTTTTCTGTAAAACTAAGTTCATTTTTAATTGAATGTGGAATTGTATGGACTGACAGTTTTCTTTTTAATTGTAAATAGTCACATCTGGATCTAATTAAAAAACCTTACAATTCCTTAAACCTTTTGTGCAATGACTCTGCACCTGGATCTTTAATCAATAGATCTGTTAGCTATTCATTGTGTTCAGGTTGAGATTGGTTGAGAACATTTAAATTGGCACCTCAAAACTAAGAATTATGGGGCTGCAGCAACACCTGCTGGTAGGGTAAGTTTTCATCTATCTTTGTAGGAGCTAAACTTGGTGAGGGAGATGGTTTTGGATGCATCATGCACAATGAAAGTGTCTATAAGAACCTTGGAATATGTGTGGTATTACAAATGGACGTTTCAGACGTTTAAAGCTGTATTTTCTGTAAACCGTGAAGGAAAATTCATGATAAGGCGATGCTGTAAGGTGAGGAAGCTGCATTGTTGCAGCAGCAGAATAAAGCCAGAGATTAAGACAAAATATTCTGTGCAGATTTCAAAACAACACTAGAATGTAGATTAAATTAATAATGAGATTGCAACACATATACAGGGTGCATAAATTAACGTTAAATATGTATGCTTTGGAACAAGTGCATAACATATAGAGTCACCCACACTTAGTAGTAGTTGTAATATATTAGAGGTCAATGAGGGACCTCTAATATATTACAACTACATCCAAGTTTATGCTGGCCACAATTCATAATGTTATGTTTTGTGTATAATTTTTTATCTCAACTTCAAAAATGATTAGAAATATAAAAACAACTGAAAATGATACATGAAAACATATTTTAATCTGTTGTTCACCTAAGTTCTGGTGGACCCACAACATTACTGGAGTTTTAGAATAATAAAGCCATAACAATTAATGTAAAAAAAACCACTTCTGATTATAATTACAAGCAATATACAGAAAGCATGTATGTTTAATATTTGCCATTTACAACTTGGAAGATTTATCAATACAAAAGCTATTTGAATAAATCATGGTGATCTTTATCAAACAAACAAAACAAGGTTTTCAATAACGATGTTTATTGCTTCAAACTGAACAAATTGGAAAAAAACAATCTTTTTACACAACTCCAGAGATTATTGAAAGCAATGTGTGGTGGTCTACAGACCACATGAAGGACAGTGTGTGTACTGCCCATGTATTTCTTGCACTTGATGCATGTGTATGCGTCTTCCTGTCCTTGGGTCCACAGCGCTTGTTTTTGTTGCTGCTGCCTTCAACCTACAAGGTTGAAAACAAGTTCAGATATTTTACTAACACACACATATACGTACATACACATGAGCATATGCATAAATACAGTGGTGGAAGAAGTACTCATATCTTTTGATTAAGTAAAAGTAGCAATACGACATTGTTAAAATACTCTGTTACAACTAAAAGTTATGTATTCAAAATAAGTAGTAACTAGTAAAGCGTACAGTATTTGTCTTTGAGTTGTAGTGGAATAGAAGCATAAAGCAGCAGAACTGTATTAATTTATAAATTAATAAATGTAATGTGTTAATTTATTAAATTGAATTGAATTCATTAAATTTAATTAATTTGGTGTCATTAAATGTACTTACTGGAATATCTTTATTTTAATTCAATTTATTTTATTTAACAGTTAATTTAATTTAATTGATATATTTTAATTCAACATATTTGATAATTTATTTTTTGATTATAATTTTTATTATCAATCTGAATTTTCAAAGAAACAAGTAACTAAAGTCATCAAATAAATGTAGTGGACTAAAAACAATATTTGCTTCTGAATTGTAGTGGAGTAAAAGTATAAAAATGCAGAAAATGGAAATACTTAAGTAAAGAAGAACCCCAAGATTTTTACTTGAGTAAATGTACTTTCCACCACTGCATACATAATGTATATGTACAGTACTGGTGGGGAAAAATGCCGTAAATAAGAACGCTTTCAAAAATAGACATATTAACAGGTTATGTTTATCAATGAACAAAATACAAAGTAAATGAACAAAAGAAAAATCTAAATCAAATATTTGGTGTGACCACCCTATACCTTCAGAACATCATCAGTTATTCTAGGTTTACTTGCACACAGTCAGGGATTTTGTTGGCATACTGTCAGGTGTATGATTAATTAATTATACCAAACAGGTGCCAATGATCATAAATTCAGTATATTATGTAGGTTGAAACACAGTCATTAACTGTAACAGAAACTGCTGTGTGGGAGGAATACAACTAGGTGAGAAACAGCCAAACTCAGCTAACATGGTGAGGTTGCTGAAGACAGTTCATTATCAAAAGTCATACAGCAGGGCAAGAATGTGCACAGCAACAAGACACAAGGTAGTTAAATTACATCAGCAAGGTCTCTCCCAGGCAGACATGTCTTGTGGCCAAAAAAGTCTTACCTCCGAGTCCAACATGGAAACAAGGCACTCAACTGTGCACGGAAACAGTGGAACAGGAGTGCAGAAAAATGGCAGCAGGTGCTCTGGACTGATGAGTCAAAAGTATCTGGCTGTAGCGGAAGGCAGTTTGTTCACCGAAGGGCTGGAGAGTGGTACAAGAATGAGTGTCTGCAGGCAGAGCCCTGATCTCAACATTTCAACAAGTATGTCTAGGATTACATAAAGAGAGAGAAGAAACTAAGGCTTCACAAATCCACAGAAGTGTGGGTAGTTCTCCAAGATCTTTGGGCCAAGCTACCTGCAGAGTTCCTTCAAAAGTTGTGCTAGTGTACCTTGAATTGATGATGTTTGGAAGGCCAAGGGTGGTCACACCAAAAATTTATTTTATTTAGATTTTTCTTGTGTTCACTCACTTTGCATTTGTTAATTGATAATTATAATATATTAACATGTGTATTTTTTAAAGCATTCTTACTTTATAGCATCTCTCCACTCCTAAAACTTTTGCACTGTACTGTTTAGTTACAGCAGACCAAGGTAGGACACCACACCACAAAAGGGGTAAATTGTGGGGTGAACCTTTTCTTTACATTAGCATCACAGATTTGCAGAATTGAAATGTATTGGTATATGAGTTTGAGGTACTCCTATCGATTTTCTGCAACTTTTACATCTATTCCATTTGACAGCTAGGGCCTATAGTTAATAATTAGCCAACTTTGCAGATAAAAACTTTAATACAACACACATGGGCTTCTAGAATACATTGTTATAGAGATATCTAGATTGCTCTTAATGTATATAGAAGATAAAATAATCAGCAACATTAACATTATATTCACATGTTAATACTTCAGCAATATTATATGCTATAAGATGTGATTTAACTGTCACAGAAACATTGCGCTGCATAATCAGTTGCTTTTGTACATTAATTGTCATTGTTATTAAATGTTATTGATAATACTTATTGGGCAATATGGCCAAAAATATTTTTAAAAATTCATATCATTCAATATCGATTATCATCATTATTTCTTTCAAGTTTAAAGGCTGATTTTTGCTCCTGAGTGAAAGTTGAAGAAACCAAATGGTTAATTGTGGTTTTAAACTATTCTTTGTGGTCAGAACATGACAAACACTTGCTAAACAGTGGATCACTTCACCTATCTGTAGTAGAACATTAAAAATAATTATGATAGATCTAAAATCTTTTTTCAACAAACATGTATGTAGTAAAATTAAGTAAAATATTTTTTATTATATATTATATATTTTTTCCTCAACAAAATAAATATCCTAATAGAAAAATTAAGTGGTAATTCATTTGTGGTTCAAATTACTTGAATCAAACATTTATTGAACATTTGTTATATTGTTATTGAGGAAGTTTTATTGCCCAGCCCTACATGTAATGGACTATTTTAAGTGAATTGTGGGAGTACCTCTTCCATCGTTGCAGATTTGAGTGCCGCTGTCTCTTTAAAGACGCAGGGAAAGTGGTGCAGGAAAGTAAGAAATAGGCTATGGATCCAGCTGTATGTTTAGTGCATGAAATCAGAAAAGCACAAGTAAACAGAGAAAGTGTAGTGTCTGTCTTTTTTGACATAGAGAAGGCATATGATATGACAAAGCCATTTGCTATTTTCCATAATAATAAATTATGTTTTCAGGGAAGGCCCTGGACTGGCGACCTGTCCAGGGTGTACCCCGCCTTTCGCCCGATGTCAGCTGGGATTGGCTCCAGCCCCCCGCGACCTTGTACGCAGGATAAGCTGTTGACGATGGATGGATGGATGGATCAACAGCAGCACTACAGGAGAAATGGGAGAAATGCCACTAGAGATTACAATAATACAGCTATCTCTGTATTATTGATTTGGTTAATTTACAGGGCCTCGTGAAAATCGTCCAGCACAAGGCATTTTAAAACCTTGTTGGGAAAAGGAAAGGAGGGAGACAAAAAGCTTTGGGTGGACAGTTACAGAAAGCAACAGAGCTAGAATTAGCTGAATTAAACTTCAGTCCAACAGTCCCATTGCCAGAAGTACCACCTTGGGTGCTCCCTGAAGCCACAGTAAATCTTACATTATTAGAAAAGAAGAACAAGGAAAGGGAGTACATTTTGAATTCACATGCTATACAGGCATATATTAATAGTTGCCACAGTTACATCCAGTTCTACACAGATGCATCAAAGTTTAGTTAATAAGATAAGCGTAGCTTTTATTGTTCCAGAGTTTCATCTTACAATAGGGAAGAGGATTAGTGATGAAGTATCAGTAGGCCTATACACAGGAGAAATGCTAGCAATTTTGTTAGAGGTGCAGTGGATAGATGAAATAATTATTTAATTAGTAATTATTTGTTCAGATACAAATTAATCACTAATCAGTTTATAGAGCAGTCACTCAGATAGTGGACCAGACATTTTGATAGAAATTAGACATTATATAGGATTCAAATTATGGGCATTGCAGTGATATGTTTGTGGATACCAGCACATATTGGCACCAAAGGAAACAAAATGGCAGATAAGGCTGCAAAAGAGGCCACAAAAAGAGAATACATCAATATGGCAGTTAGCATCAGTAAGATAGAAATAAAGAGCATTATTAAACAGAGATTGAAGAACAGGTGGCAAAAGCAATGGGATGAAGAGAGGAAAGGACATTAGTTTAACAAAATTCAGTGGCGAGTGGGAGAAATGAGATGTGCAGAAATAAACAGGAGAGAAGAGACAATTATATAAAGACTTAGATTTGGGCCCACTGGATTAAACAGCACTTTATTCAAAATAGGTAAACATAACACAGGCAGGTGTGAATATTGTGTGCAACAAGAGACAGTCGAACACATCATGGTACACTGTCAGAAGTATGAGGAAAAAAGAAGGGAAATGATCCAAAAGGAAAAGAATACATTTTGATTTAATAGAAATTCTTAGAAAGAACTCAAGAGATAAGTGCTATGGAATGATTGAGAGGATCTGAGTTTTGTATTATTTTCATTTATTTGGTTGGTTTAGTTTGATTTTGGTGTGTTTGGTCTAATGGTACTACCACCACCACAGAAGCAGTAGTCATTCTGAGCCACACTCCATAGCCTACCAGTTGGTGGCGGTAATGCGCCATTTCGCGTTTGCCAACCGCCAGTAAAATTCCATAGAAGAAGAAGAAGTAAGGACGCGGGGTTTCCAAAGAACGTAAGGTACGTAAGGTACGTAACTCAAGACCGGGAACAGGCTGTGCACGTTCACTTTTGGACAAACTGCAAACTTCTACATAATCACAGGTTAGTAAATGATCGGCTCCTTAACTGTCCAGATGGAGAGGACAAGCAATTATAAACGCTACTTTAGCAATATCTATGCAGTTCATTCATATTATTGTTCATTCACTCTCGAATGTCATTCTAACGGTGCTAACTAGTTAGCTCAGGCTATCAAACAGCTCTGAACGTCAGGCAGTGTCCGCTAGCTACACTTTAATGCTAGCCAAACAACATTTGATATATGGTTAAAGACGTGATTTTACATTATATTTCTGTATTGGTAGGCAGACGCGTCACGTTTATTTTAAAGAATTAACGTTTGACTGAAGCTCAGCCATGTCCGGTAACCTATCTAACTTAATGTTAGCAAGGACACATGGGTAACGTTGCTGCCAACGTTAGGTAATGCTGCTTATTTTAAACTACGGTAACGGTATGGATGTAGCTCATGTTAAATATCAAAGCATATCTCTAGACATGTCCTTACAAAAGGTTTGTGTCTATCATAGTCTTTGGCTGTGCCTGAGTGGGACTCCAGTTTAAATGGTAACTTAACGTAGTGTCCTAACTTTGCGGACGTTTATTTCATATCAGCATGGGGGCAGCAGGAGGAAGCACAGCTGTCTGTCGGGTGGAAGAACCGGACACTGTACCAACCATTGAAATTACTCTCCGACAGCTGTTCAACCCCAGCAACTCCTGGCTAAGATTACGACCAAAATAAAGAGTGATTGTGTCTATCGATCAGCTGCGTTTATGGAAAATGAACATATTGCTTACAGCAGGTGTACTTCACACTCCAAGCACCACAGCGTCAAACAAGGTCCCATGCAGGAGAGAGACCATGGTTGTCATAAACCACTCTCATTTATCCCATGATGTAGTGTCTATCCAGGTCCTTTTTTAACTCTAACACAACTTTTTCTTTGTGCAGACATTGACGTGTCACCAGGAAAAGCATTTGTGATGGTTCTGTTCTGCTGTAAAGTCCCAGTTTGCCACTAGTGTTTGTTGAGACTGGTCCAGTGATTTTAGGTTAGTTATGTTGTATTTTTGAGACTTTTGTGGCTTCAAACAACTAACCTGTTAATACCCTTTTGGTCACTTTCAGCTTGCAGCCCGTGTTTCCCTTTTACATTTGTAGTTTTTGTGACCAATGGATCTGCAATTCAGTCACTGTTAATTTAGTTATTTTTCCTGCACTCAACAGCCTCATTTTGTTTTAAAGGCTCTGTAATCAAAGTGCAAATTGTTAATAAGCTGTTGCATACACTTATCTAATTTGAGTAAGCTTTGCCGCTGCATTTGTAATTGTGGTGTACTTACTAATAAACACCATTTCATGTAGTGCTCAGCACAGCTCAGTGACTTTAACCAATGGTAGGTTATTAAAATCATTCTTCTCTTTTGTTTGTCCCAAAGTCCTTAAGTTTTGCAGTCATGCCTGGTAAAAAATCCACCACCAAGAGGAAGTCTGATGCTATTGTGAAGGATCATAGAGACATCAAGAAAGTGAAAGGTAAATCACTGACCATTTAAAAAAAAAAAAAAAAAAAAAAAAAAGGTTTAATATAGACAAACAGATTGGACCACACCCATGCCTCGGGTTAGTGACAACAAAACCATGTTGTTTATGTCTTTGTATGTTTTTATATGTCGTTATCCTGGAAAAAAAAGCAGACATGAGAATGAGACTTATTTTGAACATACACTATAGATGTCATTTCAATCTTGAAGAACAAAATCAAATTGCTGTTACAATACGCACCCAGTTTGTGCAAGGATAGCATGTGTGTGTGTGTGTTTGTGTGTAACATCGGTATAACTTTACAGGACAACAGAACCAGCAATAATGATTCTGTTAAGTCCCAGTTTGCCAGTAGGCATCGCAACCTTGTGGCATTAAGCAACTATCCTGTCAAGTGTCATTTTATTCCTGTTCGTAACTTTCTGCTTGTAACCACTACTTCCATTTTACATTTGTAGTTTTGGGGACCAATGGATCTGCAGTTTAGGCACTGTTAATTTAATTTATTCTGGACTCAGTTTTCTGATTTAAGAGCGTTTAAAGCAAAATGCTGATTGATTGGTAAACTGACAATTTCCAAATTTAAGGTAGCTTAGCAGCTGCATTTGTAATTATGAAAGAATTTTTTCTAATAAACATGTGATTATGTGTGTAACAGTTACCCACAGAAGTCATGGCAAGGAGGCAGGCCAGGTTCTTGTTGTCGGTCAGGGTGATGTTGGGCAGTTGGGACTAGGCGAGGACATCATTGAGAGGAAAAAGCCGGCCCTCGTGTCCCTGCCAGAGAAAATTGTGCAAGTGACAGCTGGAGGCATGCACACTGTGTGCCTCAGTGACACTGGCCATGTAAGCATCTGTCTTATTAACACTTTAACTATGGATCTTGAGTTTCCCAGATAAACGGCTATGTTTTTTTTTTGTTGTTGTTTTTTGTTTGTTTGTTTTTTTCTTTCTTTTTTAGGTCTATACTTTTGGCTGTAACGACGAAGGGGCCCTTGGTCGGGACACAACAGAAGAGGGGTCTGAGATGGTTCCAAGAAAGGTGACACTGGAGGAGAAGGTGGTCCAGGTGTCGGCAGGGGACAGCCACACTGCTGCACTCACAGAGGATGGTACAGTGTACCTATGGGGCTCCTTCAGGGTTAGTTACTTGCTGTTATCAGACACATAGGCCTGTGCTTGGTTGTGTGTGAAAGGGATCTTCCCTACATCTATTCAATAAGGGTTTTTTGTAACCTTTTTCAATCTTTACAAACACTACGTATAAGCACCAGTAGTTGTCCTGTACTCACCTTGCACATACACCTGACTATCACAAACTGTCAACTGACGGGTCTCAAAGTAATTTTTGAATCTCTACTTGACAACTGTGAACAGCCAACTCATTAGTGTCTTTTGGTACAACAGACCACTGAACAAGACGGTTTTAGGCAACCAAAATGTTAAAATTAACTAACTGAAAACACACTGAAAGCGTCTATCCTGATTGACAGGTCGCTGTGTAGTATAGTGCATGCCCTGTTTTACCATCTATTTTACGCTAAAAGGGACCATCATTTATAAAATAAACATCATCGGATGGTGTTGAAGAAGACTTAAATCTAACGATTGAAAGAAACTCATAAGGGAAGTGTTTACTGATGCAATAAATCGAGTAGGGCTGCAGCTAACGAGGATTTTTGTACTCCCAACCAGGCCGAGAACAACAAACGCACGTGTATACATTTACAGCTGAGGATTGCGGCTTACTTTTTCTAGTCTTCAACTCAACAATCTATCATGGTTTCAGTTAAATGCTAAAGTTGCTGTTACTGTTAACTTGTCTTAAATGTGCCTTACTTCTAATGGCCAGAAGCAGGTGACTCACCTGGTTGCAAAAAGTCAGATTGTATGTAAGCTTATGAGAAAATGACCCTACTTCTCACTTGGCTGATACGATTCATTGATTAATTCGATTACTAAAAAGCATTGACACAAATTCTTTGCATCTATGCTTCGTTTAATCGATATAACACACTGTTTCACACGAACATTCATTACTGTCGAACTTTGCGTTTACGCTGTGTGAACACGACGTGATTATGATGGCGCTGTTTGCAAAGTGGAGGAAGAGAGAAAATAGTGAGGGACGAAGAAGAAAGTGTCCAAAGTATGGGGTTACTTAAAGCTAAATGAAAACAACAACTGTTACAGTCTGTCCACCGTAAAATTAAACTTATGTGGCCTACCACAACAGCACGACGGCATCTGATCAGAAAGCACATGGTCTGTCATCCATCCATATGACACATTCATTAACGTAAAGATTTCACACACAGTGATGGATCAAGGACTGGATCAAGTGTGTGAAATCTTTAAGTTAATGAATGTGTCTCATCCTGCTCCTCCCCCTCCATCTTACCCTGGTGCAACACACCATACAGCAAAAAAAATCTAGATTTAGTGGTTAATTGTTTTCCAGCACACAGATGACCCTAACCCTAATGTCAACCTTTATTAAATAAAATAAACCCAAACTTGACTTTTAGTTGACTGAAAGCCTGGGCATTTAAGTCTTAGTCAAAGAATTAACTATTAGTTAACTATCACTTTAGTAACTATTAAAGTAACTAAAGTAACTATTTTAGTATAGTTTTAGTGAAAACCATCATGCATACTACTGCTGGACTGAGTAGTTTTAAGTTAGCTGTTTTATGTTTGTAATGTGTTTGTTCAAAGCACAGCGATATATGTTGGTTATTTTGTGCTGATTTATGGCTTTAACCATTAGTGAGGTGGCTGTATTGTCCTATGGGTCCACAAACCTTTTCCTTTTTCTTCTTGATGAGAGAGATTATCATGAATTTTTTTAAAACTACATTTTAGTCTTTTTTCAAAAACATTGAATGTTAATATAGTCACAGTTTGTCTGTCATCTTATCGTCTCATCTTAGTGATGGGGGGGGGGTTGTTGATGAACATATTTAGTCATAGTGGTCGTTAATGACATTAACATTATAACCCAGCATTAAAAGCAACCACATTCATCTTGCCTGCTACACATCCGGCCATCAGTTTCCTTTCCTCTTAACCCTGCAGGCCTATTCCCTAGTGGCGTGTCTCTCTTTCCTCAGATGTCTTTAATTGCCTCTGCTGAAGATATGTTCTTCCCATAGGCTGACCTTTTCAACTTTTTCTCATGTCCTCTCGTCTTTTTGATCTCTGTAATCTCCCCCTTCATGTGGCAACATGACCATGTCACATGCTTCACACATTGTAACTCATTAGAGAGCAAAGTAAAGACATTTAAAAACAGAACTTGATGATCCTTCGTTGTGCCATTCGTAATCACTTATTAGTCCTTTTCTGTTTTAAAACCAAAATGGAAAAACAAAACAGTTGCGGTTTGTTCTATGACTGGTGTTGTATCCCTACTGGTTTTCAAACTGGCTGCTGTAAATGTGCGCCTGTTTGCAACAGCAGTGGTCAGCGTCAGGCTTCATTCAACCAGAGGGAATGATCCACCAACCCTCCGCAGTACACCTCTGCCTCTCTGGTAGACCTACTATGGGTTGTGTTGCCATTGGAACCGGCGTAGTGGACGGTGCGTGGTACTTCCCTCTAGCTAGATGAAGTCCGATGCTCACGTTTTACGCATAGCCTAATCCATGTGTTACTGCAACTCTTCGCAGCACTGCCCAACTTTCAAAATTCTTCCATCTCAGAAGACAATAAAGATCTGGTCGAAACAGTGTAGACAGACTAAACTAAAACTCCCCGAACCTTTTAATCCGTGTATGAATCGTTCATTTACAGCTCGCCGATTTAACTAATTAGTTAGTTTTTGGTTTTAAAACAGAAAAAACAAGTTTGAATATTTTCTGCATGTGCATTATACATCCCATCAACTAATCTACTAATCCATTCAGAAGGAATCTGGCAAATAAAATGCTTCTTGCTTTAATCATCTATCACTATATTCTGTAGTCGTCTTTCCTGAGTTCGCTCACACTTGGATTTCTACTTCCACTCAGTTTTTTAAATTTATTTTTTTAATCTAAAAGTGATCAAGTACATCAAGTTAAAACGAAAGTTCTGTCACCAAAAAACATGTAATGGAGCTGGCCCAACAAGAATGAAGTAATTGTTTGAAAGACTTTTAATTAACCTGGATTTCCAGGTAGGGTGGTTTTTTTTTTTTTTTTTGTTTTTTTAATTGCTCAATTCAGTTTGGTTGGCAAAGCTGTGGAGTGGACAGACCAAACAACACTGTCGTGTGTGTGTGTGTGTGTGTTGATCACAAACTACATTAGTAGTAAGTAAATAGAGATACTTGAGATCTGAGTAGCTAATTAACGGTGGAAGCATTTGCAAATAATGTACTGCTTGACTGAGCTCTGTTGTTAATTGAAGCCTTTGGGAGGAAATTTGGTTTTAACTAATCCAAAAAAAGAAATTTACTCAACGTTCCCAGTTTTTGTCAGGTTTCATTATATGAAACAAAAGGCTAGTTTCCAAAATGGTCCCATTTACAGCCATGCTATACTTTTCATAAACCAAAACAGCACTGCGGATCTCTCTGTTAACCATTAATATGCTGAACCCTTTTGCTCCCAGGATAACAGTGGTGTTATAGGTCTTCTGGAGCCCATGAAAATATCTTCTGTTCCAGTCAAAATCCCCATGATAGAACCTGTTGTAAAAATTGTGTCAGGTAAGAAACCTTCTTTATTTCTTTGCTGTTTGCACTCTGCATATTAACTTCTAACAATGTTTCTGTTTTATTTTCATGAATCCTTTTAATAGGTAACGACCACCTGATACTGGTTACACTGGAGGGAAGTCTTTACTCATCAGGAAATGCAGAGCAGGGGCAGCTGGGAAGAGTGCCTGAGCATTTTTCAGACAGAGGAGGCAGGAAAGGCCTCGGTAAGTAATTGTCTTACTTTGAGCGCTCGCTGTCAACTGGAATAAAAGCGTACTCGAATTTACATCTCTGATTTCTGATTACATTAACAACAGGTATTTTCATCACTTCTGTGTAATTTATATTACTGTCGTGTTGTGGCTGACTCTTTGACTTCTGATTTCAGGCCGGTTGCTGGTACCGCAGATGGTACATGTCAAAGGGAAAGTTCACTTCATAGATGCCTTCTGTGGGGCATACTTCACCTTCGCTGTTTCAAGAGAGGGACATGTTTATGGATTTGGCCTCTCCAACTATCACCAGCTGGGTTAGTATGGAACATCAGAATTTTACATTTGATGATGTGAATTGGTCCAATTTGTGTCATAGCTTTAACTAGTAATATCTGACTTTGCTTTAAGGTTAGCATTAGCATCAGCCATCATGAAGTGTTTTATTTGTTCTCACTCTTTTTTATATTCTTTGTCTGTTCAGGCACTAAAAGCATGAAGACCTGTTTTGTCCCAATAAAACTGACATGCTTCAAGAACTCTACCACTTCCTGGGTGGACTTCTCCGGAGGACAACATCACACAATCTGCCTCGATGCTGAAGGTAAGCTCCATTTAATTGTGCTGTCAGGCCGTGTCTGATAAAACTATGTTAAAACTGAACAAGTATGCTTATCAGACTTTGTGATCCCATCAAGACTGATGTTACAACTCAGTGTGTTAGACAACTGCAACACAAACATCTCCTGTGTGCTCTACAGATTATACTAACGTGCAGCTCCACGACACCCAGAGATTCAGCACTGTTTATTATTTCATTGTTTGTTAAGAAATCCAATGCTAGTAGGCACAAATGACCTGCGGGCCCAATTGGTTCGGAGGGATGGCACCCTATACAGTCTGTCTGATGATAACCGCTCATACTCTCCAAATAGGGGATGTGATACATCTCTAATAATTGCCTGCCCCTTCCTCACCAATCGGGATTTGCAGATCGTCGTCATGTTAGTTTGCTGTTCTCTGGCAATCTTACTGGACATATTAACTATCTTATGCAGTTTATTTTTATTATTCACTGACAATGTAAAATACCAGGCAATGGAACAAAAAGTTAATATGCTTTCCACAAAAGAGCAATAGAAGAGGACCAATATAACTCTTTCCACACCAAACAGTCTCAGTTTCCGCATAAAATATAGACTCCACAACCCTATTGACAGACCACATTTGTTTGTAAACAGTATAACCCAAACCCTGAGTGAAAACTGTTTGGAAAAGAAAGTCGATACATAAAACAACATATCAGGCATTGCCAGGTAATGCCATAAACAATGTCAAGATATTAAAACACAAAAGACACATGTCCTAACAACCTCTGGTTGGGAAGCTGTTTTACAAGTCAATGACACCTGTTTGTCAAACAAACAATGAATGGATCCCTTTTCTCTTCATCTTTTAGGACAGGTATATAGCCTGGGCAGAGCTGAGTATGGGCGTCTCGGTCTGGGCAAAGGGGTTGAAGAGAAGAGTGAGCCCACGCCTGTGTCGGGGATAGAGCTGGCGTGCGGAGTGGCATGTGGGGCGTCTGTCAGCTACGCTGTCACCAGAGAAGGTGAGAAACAAAGCAAAAACAACAGAGGATTGTTATATTGCTTTTTTAAAACAGGTTATGTTCTGCTAGCTTATATGAATTGTAACACAACTGCATTTGTCTAATGTTTGCAAAGAGCCAAGAAGGTAAAAAAGGATGCTCACCCCGCTAACTGTTGGCTGTGCTTACTCCAGGATCTGTGTACGCCTGGGGCATGGGCACCAACATGCAGCTTGGCACAGGAACGGAAGAGGATGAGTGGAGCCCTGTAAAGATGACTGGCAAGCAGCTGGAGAACCGCACAGTACTGATGGCCTCCAGTGGAGGGCAGCACACCGTCCTTTTGGTCAAAGACAAGCAGGAGAGCTGATGTTCATCTCAGGCAGGGAATGATGGGGGAATCTTTTGATCTGTTTCGAGGTGGGGCCTTGTTTACGATGCCTAAATCTGGGGATGGGGCTTAATGTAAATGTGACTGCCTGTGTCGAGCTGAGGAAGTGTGGCAGGTGCAGGGCCCTTTTTATGAGAACTCTTCTCCTGGTGTGGGGACAAATGTTTTGTTTTTTTTCTTTTAAATCTAGTTTTTGATGTTCTTTTCATTAAAAGTCATTAGTGTGACTGTAAATGTGATGTTTGTGAATGTGACTGTTTGCATGTAGATAAAGGAAATGAGAGTGCAAGCCTTTTAATGTATTCCCCACACGATAGTCTTTTAAAGTGTTTTTTTTTCTTTGCTTTAAAGAAATAATTTCACTGACCCTGATTCAGACAGGACATTTATACTCCATGAGTTTAATACGTGAGACTACTGTTCATTTTACCTATGGCACACACAATTGCATCATACTGTATCCTGCATTTTGTTGCTTTTCCTGTCTGAAAATAAAGATTACATTTTAAGTATTTAAGCCTTTTCTCATCCAGTAGGACTGCTGCAGCTAACGATGATTTTAGTACTCGAAGCTTCTATAGATTATTTCATTGATGCATCGTTTATGAAGTACTTTTGCTTGGCGGCAGCTCCCCAGATCAACACCATACCTCAGGAGACTGACCACATTTCACAGTTGGTCAAACACTTGACTCAAAGGTCAAAATAGGTTTTTAGCCTTAATTTAAGAGAGGGTTAGGCGATTCCAGATTTCACACATGTTGACTGGGGCGACACAATAAGTAACCAGTAACTGGCAGAGCACAGGTTTTCCTCCATCTCGTCCATTATGCCTTTTGTTTCCTGCCACGTACAGAATTTCCAGTGTCATTGGCGTCAGTTGAATGCAAACAACGTGTTGATCCTGTGAGTGAGTAAGTTTCACCTACAGCTCAGACTCTTGGCTTCTAAAAATGCCAGGAGAAATCAAGCAACACCTTTTGTGCAGCTATACTCTAAGAATCAGTCTTATAGTAATCAAGTACATCTATGACAATCCTTCATTAATCAGTTCAACAATATATATTGACTGGAATCATACGTATCATCAAAATAGTAATAACTAATTTTGCCAAAAACTACACTTGACCTTTTATTTTCACTACACATTAGTCTAGACAGACATGGATGTAACCTGCAAAATAAATGGTTAGTGAAAACCTACAACCACAGGACGGTAATTCTAGTTTTGATTTATTTTCCATTCAAAAATACTGAACATTTGCTGGTTTGAGCTTCTCAGATGTGAGGATTTGCTGCTTTTCTTTGTCTTGTGGTAGTCAACTTAATCTGTTTTGATTTATATTGTTGTTCAGACAAAACAAGCTATTTAATTGTGATGGGCATTTTAGCTATATGATTAACTTTGTTTTTACAATTATATTAAATTAATAATCAAAATAATAGTTAGCAGTTAGAATAATAATGAAGGTTTGTAGTTGTGGCCGTAAATACAGTAACCACGCCATGTTTGCGAATGGAAATCCACCCTAAAACAAAATCTGGATATGGATTTTCATTTACGTTAATAAAAGGAAACATTTAGACCATTCTCACTCACACCATTTTCACTCATTTTGAAAATATTCATTGTTGGGGATATTTTCCACTTGATGTTTATAACTTTAATGCCATAAAGAAATAACTAGTGAAAATGTAGAAGTAGCATTGGCTGTTGATGGTGAATAAAGATACAGAAGTTGTCTGCTTATTTCACAGATGAAGGATTTGCTAGCCTGTAGGATTGGGTGACATGGATAAAGTACTACATAAATATAAAGCGGTTAAACTCGAGCTGCTTCATGTCTATTTTGTATGCAAACAACACATTCCATACACAGTAATCAATGTAAATGAGAAACACTTCAGGATGCAAGTGATGGTCCAAGTACATACATCAAAGCTACATGCTTTTGTGTTTTGTCTGGGGGTGAAATGCACGGGGTCCTTGCTTGTCTCTTCTTGCTTTCATCTGACCAAAAGGACCGAAGATGAAGTGAAAGCTTCTAAAAAAGCTTTGAAATGCTAAAGTGTCTTTCATAAGCAGTTAATTGATCAGAGGGAACCTCTCCCCTTGTTTGTTTTTCATCACTGTTTGTCCTGTCACAAAGAAGCAATGTCAGGAATACATTCGATGGCACTGTTCATTGCTCATCGGTAATGGTTGTACAGTGGCTATAAGAGTCTCTCAAAAAGCAAGAGCGATGATTGTTCTTAACTGCCTCTGTTGTGCCTCCACCACACTGTTAACTCAAAACACGTATGAAATGGTGCTGTGTATAAACACAAAAGCAGCTTTCTTTGTTACACCTGATATGTACTACACATATTTTTGAGAAACTTTCTCAAAGCACATTGGTCTGCAAAGAACATGAAGTGTTAAGGTTTTTTTTGGACAGTTAAGTGTGAAGGTATTGTTTGTCTCACCTACTACACTGCTGTACACAACTCACTATTACATAATAATACATTTTTCTACTATGATGAAAATAGCCTTTTATGGCAGAAACCAAAAAGAAAGTTTGACATTTTGCAGTGTGTCTGTAATTTCGGGTTATGTCTCTGACGGATCAACCCCTCAATATTTTTTATAACATTTTCTCTGGTATAATGTTGCCTAAGTTCAGTAATGAGCTGTTCCAATGTCAGACACCAAGCAGAGTGAAATGTTCAGTCATATTATTATGACCCTGATGAAGTGGCCTTTAGACATGCACTCATTATTTTTCGTCACCCGCTGTGCTTGAATTTGAAGTAATTTAACATTTGTTTTGTAGAACTTTGTGAAACCTCCAGACCGCATGAAATGTCTTGAACCTTTTTAAATGTAGTTTTTACATCTCTGTCCTTTCATTTTGCACTTTTAGACCTCCAAGAAAATATTAAAATATTTTAAAGACTTTAAAGAAAAGACTTCAGTGTGCAGACTTGGGTAAATGGGACTGTGAGCTTGGGAAAGGCTGTTAAAAGCATCTTTGACATCTGTTAACAGCCTTCCACATGCTGGAGCATTCAAAGTCTGATAATGCTCGCAAACCCAGAAACATTCTCTTACGTTTCAGGTACAAAGAGAAGCATTTATCCAGGGATTCAGCAGTGACATCCTGTGATGAATTCCTTTCATTTGTAGAAAGTGAAAAGAGGATTTTTCATAATGCATGTGGTCTCTAATCTTCCTCTCATTAAACCAATATCAGAGGAGACCGAGGAGTCACCTGCACAGCCACACATTAACCACTCAGAGCTTTACATACGGCTTTATAAGCTTTTGTTGTGGTAACTGTCTTTGCGTGTGCTTTACACTGCACATCTGTCTTGCGACAGGCTGCATGATGCATTCATGAACAGCAGCATCATGCTACTAAAATTGTAACCTTACAACAGAACACATTTTGCATCATTTAGCTCCTTCCTTGATTGGGATGTGGCAGCCCCTGAGACACCCTGCTGCTTTCTTAATTAACTTGTCATTTCAAGTTGTATTGAGTGCTGTTTCTCAAGTACGTCTTAATCAAGAAATCCAAAGTGTTTTGATGATTCCAATGCTTTGAGGAGGCTCTTGTTTTCGTCAAGTGGGCCATCATAGTGGGAACCTGGTGAATGTGGCACAGCGGGTAGCTGTTGTCCAGTTCATTCCCTTCCCATTTTGGATAAAATACCTTAAAATACATGTGTGTATGTGAGAACTTAAGGTGTAGAAAGAAAAAGAGGCCCACAAGACACTTGTCACCCATTTGCCATTCTCCGTCACTATTGCCCTCAAATGACAGGCTTGTCTTTGTGTTTGTGTGAGAAGGCATTCAACCCAAAGCTCTTTTCCAACATACTGATTACAAACACTTTGAAGACATCGCCTGGTGTTTGTTCTTTCATTTTTCAGTTGGAAATTAGCATACACTATACGGAGGCTCATCTGTTGCATATGAGAAATGCTGCTCTGTACCAACAGATATTACAAACACAATGATCAATAGTGTCACATTCTTGGAAGCTCTAATAGGAGAATGGTGTACACTGCGAAAATGTGTATTGCTGTGAGAGTGTGCACAAACTAAATAGGGTATTATTAGCAAATGAGTACCTCTCTTGCTGTTAAGCTGCTGATACTCCCATTGCCTGCGGACCACACTTGTAATTACTGGAGCCCCACAGCGGAGGACCAACAGCTGTGCAGGGGCTTGTAGAATTGGACCAATCTCTAAATCTGATTCATGATTAGAGATCTGTCACGTTGACCAGATGACAACAGGCATCAAACCGCGTTAATGTTAGCACAAATGGCGTGTGACTTATCCCTGTAATGGACTTTTCTTGTGATTTACTTGATGATATATTGCTTGTGCTAATCACCTACAGAGGTCCACGTAAATTATGATCAAACAAGAATAGCGGTTTTTCGGAGGGAAGCAGCTTGTTGTGGTGGCAGCCCGGCTGACGGTGAGTGTCCTGGTTTTTTCTCCTTTTTTTGTCTGTGATTCTGTTTTTTCCCTGGTTTTCTCTGTTCACTGCCTGCTTCCCTGTGTCTCCTCCACCGTGTGCTCTCTCTCTCTCTCTCCCTCCGCTCCTGAGCCAGCCAACGACCCGCACCTGCATCTCGTCAACCTCCTCCTCTGCCTGCCACACCTGCCAGCAATCAACTCCACCTCTGCCAGTAGGCTACTTCAACCCCGGTTCTCCACACTACCTCTGCTTGATCGTCGTTGCTCCAAACCTGGTGCCACTCCATCACTCAAGCTCTTGCACGCATTCGGCATCTTGTTTATTTCCCCGTGCTTTGTCCCCGCAGTGTCACTAACCCTGTCTTTCCGTCTGTTTCTCCCCAGGTTCACTCACCCTCATCCTCCGTCTGGTCAGCTGGGCTCGCTCACCTGCCCTCTCCCCTCGGGCTTCCCCCCACTGCATCCTCCCAGTCCTCCCGTGCCTCCTCTCTTTCTCACTCCCCAGTGTCCCCCGGCTCTCTGGTCTCAGTCTCCTTGGTTCCCCGTACCTGCGTTTCCCCAGCAATCACCTCTCCCTCGACTCCAGTCCCTCACCCCTTTTTTCCCAATAAAACCCATTAACCTGGAACGTTGCATTTGGGTCCACTCTGTCCACACCACACCCGTAACAGAACGATCAAGCCACAAAATGGACCCAGCAACCACCCTCCAGGAGGCAGCGAGTCAGCTCTGCGTGGAGCTTTTGGAGTTGGAGAAGTGGAGGAACTCGAGTCACGCGGGCTACAAGAAGGCGCTTCTGACCTTTGGCCAGGTAAAAGTCTCCTAGAGGCCGTGGCTGAGAGACTCCATTCCTGAGTGGCTGGCCAGGTTTTTCCACCTCCCCGCTAGCGCCGCTAGCCCCCGGTGGGCTCCTCCCCGGCCTGCTAGTGCCGCTAGCCTCCAGCCTGTCTATCCTGATCCCCAGCCCATTAGGGCCGCTAGCCCCCATACCTTGTCGGGGGTTCCAATTGACACCAGCTCCGTTGGTGGTCCGTCCGACTCCTGCTCCTCGCACCAAGGCCCTCAGCCCAACAGTCCCATCCCTGATTTCCCCTGCTGCTGTCTCGCTGCCGGCCTCTAGCCCTAGCTCAGGCTCTCGACTGACTCTAGATATATCTGTTTGCATTTCTATAATATTTGGTATTGAACGGACTTCTCAGACTCCTCAGTTCTTCCCTCATCAACCAACTCGGAAGTCGTTGCACTTCAACAACTCCGACTCAAGGTGCGAGACCAGTGAACAATGTTTATTTTTAAGAAACGTCTGAGCTTGCTATTATTCCCCTCCCTCAGTTACCTATAATCTGCCAGCTGCGCGCGGTCACATGTAAGAAAGGACAAACTCCTGCAGCTACTGTCATTCATCATAAACTTGGCTTTAAAACTTCATACAACAAGGCCAAAACAAAGAACTGCTGAACGCAAAATAGGTTAGTAACCTGAGATTAGTGAACATGTTCAGCACAGCATTGGCCATCTAAAATTAGCTTGCTTCTTGCTTTAGCTACGACTAACCTCCGACTGTTGTTCATACAAAAAGATGAATGAGCGTTTGTTTGCTTGCTTGTGGTGGTTGATTAACGTAATCATTTATGTCCCACTGGCTGCCATCGCGTTAATAATTAACGTCGGCTGCAAACAATTTACAGGTTCATTGTTCATCACGCAATGTTACAGTTTTATTCAGTTATAATGTTACACTGGGTTTGAGAGTCCGGGGGATGTGTTGACTTACAATAGTTTAAGCTGTCATTGATTGCATTGCACATTACATGGTTGTGCTCTGTGACATACAGGTTTATTGTTAAGTAATGTTGCAGTTTTATTTAACATTAGTTAACATTACACTGGGTTTGAGTCTGACTTGCAGTAGTTAAGGTATTATGCTTTTTGGCTTTTTCCCTCTTCTTTATTGAGTTATATACCTTTTTTGTGTATGTAATAGGTTTGCAAAGTGGAAAAAGTCCAGCCCAAAGGGAGTTCCCATCTCCCACAGAAAACACTGCACTGCTTGTTTGTAGTCCAGTCCCTGTGACGACACAGGGATGAATGCTAAATACACCTCATAACGCTCGCCAAGCAGCTAGTCCGACACGCCCTCAAAAACACCGGTGAAAAACAGAGCTGCAGCACACACCTCTTCTCCTTTCCAAACACTAGCTACCCTCCAGGCAGTCAATGGACATAAAGTTGTTACTGTGATGTAGAGACAGAGCTCAGTTAAAACTTTATGGATGAAAGATACTTTTGTTACAGGTTAATAACTCACCCTTCTGAAACTCTTGCTCCAGTCTATGTTGCCAGCTGAAACAAAGCCGTGTTTACCGGCTTCTCATTGGCCCGCCCTTCTCTGCTTCTGATTGGCTAGTAGTCCTTAACTAGGAACTGCGCATGTGCAACTCCTAGCAAAGATCATTTACTCCATAGCTAAAACAAAGCTTTCAACACAGGGCAAAAAGAGGAGCTGTAGCAATGTGCAGGATTAAAAAAAACAGGGAAAATTAAACTATGTAAACCTGTTCTGGTACAACCCCTAAATAGGATTTTGAACCTGAAAATGAGCATAATACCACCGCTTCAGTAAGCTGTGATTAATTGCATTGCACATTACATGGTTGTGCTCTGTAAGTGAAAAACAGGTTACAGTTAAAGAATCCCTTTTAGCTATGCAGTTTTCTAAGCAACTTGGATTGAGCGCAGCAGGTGATGCAACATTCATTGAGACTTGACTTGGACTCTAACTCAAAGACTTGTGAGCATCTCTGGGGGAAGGGTATTGTAATTTTAATTTTGGCTGAAGTTGGGGTCTAACTTTGTTAGCAGAGGAGGATCTGTTTTTTCTTTGCCTAAAGATATATATCAGCTTCCTTTGCAATGTAGTAAATAGTTACATCAAAAAGACAATTTTCCCCAGTGCCAAGGCTCATAAATGTACACATGGCCATATGAAAAATCAAAATCGTTGCAGCAGAACCTGAGATATTGTCTTTTATTCCAAGCATTCTTCTAATTCATCCACATTGAAACTAAACAAACTCTCATCAGGCTGTCTCTGGAGCCACAACAGGCTTCAATACTTTTTTCACACATGTAGTAGTACTCCCCAAGACTTACGTAAATAAGTAAAGATACGTAAAATCAGTGGAGTTCCCCTTTAATGTGTACACTGTTGGCGCACATGAGATTTATATATTATATATTTAAAATATAAACATGTTGTAGCAATTTAACATTATAAAATTAATTTGACATGTTGTAGGGAAGGTGTTTTTATTCAAAGTCGAGAGGAGGGTTTAATGAAAACTATTACAACCCTGGGGAGGGCCTTACTTTTTTATAGTGAAATGCAAGGTTCAGCCTCCTCTCACCACCCCAAGAATTTTAGTCCCTTATGACTCTCAGCTGGCAGATGGCACCCAGTTTGAATCTCTGTTTCTGCTCCTCAGCAGGGAATATCAGAGTATTTGCCCTGTGAAACATCCACTAAAACTGCTTCAGAGCCTTTTGCCCTTCTGGCTTTTCGTAAACACCTCAGGCAACAGGAGGTCTGATTATCCGTGTTACGCCAGGCGTCTAATCACACAAAGCAGCAGGCCAAATTGCTAAATCTATTAAAGAATCTCTGCATAATCACGATCTCAATAACAAATGTGTTTGGGTTAATTTTCCATCTTCAGTTTTGGGTTGTATGGTTTTGACTCAGCGCAGTTGTGCGCAGTCCGCCAAGTATTGTGTGAAAAGCCTCACTTACAGTATGTAGGTGTCTACTGTTGAGACGCCTAAACGTCTGTAAGCGCTGGTTATCTTGAAAGATACACACAGTTGCAATATTGTGGTATAATGGAGCTCAAGTCGCGCTTTTATCCAAGCTGCCAAACAAGATCACTGTGTCTCCCTCACACACAAATGTGCAGGGGAAGTCACATAACATATGTTGTCCAGAAAACAAAATCTTGCTTCAGAACTATTGGGATGCTCTGAGCTTTCAATGCTATCAAGGGGATACAACTGTAGAAACAGTGAGAGCTGTTATGACCGCTTCAGCAGGATCCCCTCCGTTCTCATTTCCCTCTGTTAATTTGTTTGAGTGCATGAGCAACCATTAGTTAGGGTCACGAGATGAAAGTGTTTAATTATCTGCGTGTCACTCTGGAAGTGGTTTACAGTATCTCTGTGTGTAATGTTTGACAGCAAATAATTTTTTTAAAAACACACCTGTTGCATGTGCATTCAAGCTCTCTGAGAAAGCAAAAGATAGATTTCAAAATGCAGGAGAAAACAGTTGCTGTGGGGGCGAAGATCACAATTACGCTTGTTTTCAGACATGAGCTGTATACCTGACTGCTCTGTTCAATAAATTACATTGGTATTCACATTAAAAGCAGCGTTGTCAAGTCAGGAACCAGCTCATGGTGTTTGACTAAATTATTAATTTTGTTGCTTTTTCGTTTGCCTTTTGCACTGTGTGCACATGTAGCCAGAGCCATGTATATTTCATAGGGAACATGTATGCTCTGCTCTGTCTCTCTGGTCTTGTGGTGGGAGCCCTATGATGTCATGTATAGGAGCTTCTGAGATATTTAGACCGAATGTCACTCGCTCAGAAAGACAAATGTGGGTGAGTGATGCCTTCCAATCAAGGTTTCTCTTCTCTGAGACACCATCAGTTTTTAAGCAGAGAATGGTTTCAGCCCTTTAATGTGTGCATTAAATTAAATGAAAGATCATCACACATTTTCAACACATCTTCTGTGGGCCTCACTGCCATGTCTCATTTAAGCGTTAACTGCATCTGTAATAACGAATCTGAATTCTTTAAAATAAATAGTACAGTGGTTTATTTTGACGATATGTTCTTCAAGACGATTGAAACGATTAAAGTGTTGGTCTAAATATGTCACAGTCAGGACTTTGGGCCTGTGTCACTTTTAAACCATTAAGGTTGAGGCTGGTGCTATTCTATACTTGTCTTATTGTCAACAAATGAATTGATTCGACTATATTGTGTGTCCTACTCCTGAATGTATTCCTCTGAGCCATAGAGCTCCATTGTTGTCCAAAAACTATTAAAAACTCATCAGTGAGTCACACTGTTGCACTGGGAGACATGTTTCTTCATAACCATGAACAAGGGCACTGTAGTTTTTTTTGACATACACTTGAGTACCAAATACACAGCTGAATATAGTCCCCAGTTTGAGAACAGTGTGCTTAAAAACTACAATGGCCAGAAAATATCAAGCTTTTTATTTTAAAATAAAAGTATATATTCATGACCTGTTTAGATTTGTTTAGATCTTAAGGAGGAGCGAATAGTCATGGGTATAAGAGCCACAGACCAGCTGTGGAAGTCAGAAAGTATTGATAGATGGATTAACATATTGTTGTTTCAAAGGTTTTGTTGACAGTAACAAAGATAAAATATCACTGGCCTGATTTACATTATTTATTATTATTTATTTATTTATTTACATTACGAGTGATACACTGTAAAATGAGCTAATTCTCAGGGCATCTGGTGGCCAGAAGCCCCAGTATAACCCCTGACTTATTTCATATTGTGCTTTCATTTAGTCACTTACATTTACACACACACTTTAAACATGTCTGATTTGTACCTGTGACCGGTGGCCTCTGACCACCAGCTCAGGCTTCTAGGTCAGAGGCCCTTGGTTGATGGGGTCATCAACATTCCCCCTAATCAATAATTCATTTTTGATTGTACCAACAAATTACATGTCTAACTCCATGAGGCCTCACTGGCTTTTACAAAGAGTATAAATGTGAACAACAGCTGTAATAACAAGCACGGAAATCTAAATATTGGATTAAAACTGAAAGTTATTTACAACAATATTTCAATTAAAAGCACTTGAAAGATACAAATTATTCCATAAGACCTCATGTTTTCAAAAGCAGTTCTATACAGTAAAGTACTTTATATACTGGATCTGCTGAAACACAACAAACAAAAACATTTAAAGATTCAGAACCTTACTCTACAAAACAATTTACTATTTGCAAAAAAGAATCAAACATAATGCTGAATAAGGCATTACGGTAGATATTTCCATTCAGTTAAACACAGTTTTGCCCACACTGCAGAAAACATTTGCAAATTCTTACAGTGATGGAGATTTTTTTTTTAAACGTTTTAAAAAAACGTTAGAGATAGTCCATACAGGAGACCGGAACAATCTTTTTTTTTAAAGATTTAAAATGCTTCACCTAACATTTATAGCACTTAGTGTAAATACGTAGTTTATTTTCACTAACTGGTTACAAGTGAAGCTTAATGTTACAACAGCTTGACAGCACATTGAAACAAAGTACACCACATTGTCACTTAATTTGCTGTTACAGAACAATATTCTCTTTACACTTGATATATGTACTGTAGGTGCCTTTTTAAGCAAAACTGCATTGCTGCAGTGGCAAGATGAGAGGCATCAATTTGACTGCACTCCCAAAATGTGCAAAACATGTCTTCCTCACTTTAATCTCCTCCTGAAAATGTCCGATGATCATCAATGGAAAAGAGTCCATTAGCTGCAATATGCGTAGGAAGCTTCTTGTTGCTTGCTAATGCTTTTGATCCCATTCAGACTTGCCTCCATGTCAGTTTGAGGTCATTCAGTCACAATTCTGAGTTGAAACAGTGGCCCCGCTTTCCCCTTCAGCTCCTCAGTCTACTGTCAGCTGAATGTTTTAGTTGTGCAAAAGAACAGAGCAGCCTAACTGCTAGAGGAGTGGAAACAATGAGTCAGCTGAACGGTGATATCCTGGAAGCGCCAGTCATCTCGGCTTAATCATGAAGGCCTTATTTTCATGTTATTTGATGTTTTTCATGAGCATCTCCCATGACAAATGTGATGGATGTTGCCATAGTCATATAGAATTTCACTTCCTTTGAAATTATTTTTAATTATTTGTGCCCTTTGTCTTTCATTCACATTTTTGGATTCTCATTACCTTCCCAATATGGTTGAGTGACAATACTATTACCAGTCTAGATATATAGTGCATTCAGAAAGTATTAAGACAGAGGAACATTTTCCATTGAGTTGGCTCAGCACACTGGATGTGAAATTAAATTCCTGACTTAAAGCAAATCCAGCTTTTAAAGTTGCTATATGAAATATTTTTATATTAACAATGGGTCAAATGACTATGTGTAATGTAACAGGAGTCGCTCATAGTAACAAATCCACAGACAATAATTACTCCACTCTGCAGTTCCCCTCAGCTGTAAGAAGCATTATAGTGTCTTTAAGCTAATTGTTTTGGTTTTAGGGCCTGCAACTTTAATGTTTTGGTTCACTCTCACTGCTCAAAGAGTGTTGTCCCTGTTCACCCACTGCTGTTTTAAAAACCCACTGAACTGTACCTGCTCAGTACCAAACAGTAGACAGAAACAGTTGGTGAACACAGTGGAGCATTTACTAGCTGAAGAGCCAGCTATTTATGTCAGGAGTCATTGCAGGCCGAAACAGTTTGTCATATCAAGTTGAAATGTTATAATATGTCAGTGTTGTGTTTGCAGCCCACAAGTGGCCAAAATTGCAGCCCAGCAGTATCTTCCTTGTTGACACTCTGCCAAGTCTGTGCTGCAGCCACCATCACTTCTCACTGCTACAGGGGATTTTTGGAGTCAGCCTGGTCTTCATCAAGTGAAGTCTATGATTATGTTAGATTGAGGTCAGGTGACTGACTCGGCCAATCAAACATCGGCCACTGTTTGGCCATAAAAAGAGTCCTTGGTGGCCTTGACTTTGTGTTTAGGATCAGTGTCCTTCCTGATAATCTGGTCATTGTGGGACTTTGTATACACAGGGCTATGAGCCCTACATTGTTCACCTAATATGGATGTGAAGACCTACAAACCCCTTACAATAAGCACTTGTTTTATTGTGCAGAAGTAGAACCAAAGCAATGAAAAACACATCTCTATGCCAATACGTTCTGGCTGCACTGTATGTCTTTGCTTACTTGGTTGCATTGTTATTTTGCTTTATACACAGTTCAAGAAGATATGTACATTTGAATCCATTTCCTTATACACTGGCACACACAGGCATGTTTGTGATCATCCTGAAAAGACAATCCTGAAAGAATTCTGTGTCACAAAACTAATGGGATATTGACACAGTTGGTAATGTACATACATGGTAGGTCAAAAGCCTGCATCTGCAGACTCAGACTCCTGTGGTGGAAAACTGTGTGACCTCAGTCTGGAGGTCATCCTGAACTGCCCCCCCCCTCCACTGACCCATGCCTAGTCAGGCCGGCGGTCTCTCTGTCATCGCACGAGCACAAACAGACACAGGCTCCCTTGTGCTATTGCGTGCTCTGGAGAAGCTGTTCTGTTCCAGACGGGAGCGATAGGGCAGGCAGAAATCCCTGAAGCACCTTTTGAAGTTCTCATCCAAGAAGGCGTACAGCACGGGGTTGAGACTGCTGTTGGTGTAGCCCAGCGCGATGCACAGATGCCAGCTGGCCATCACTAGGAGGTTCTTGTGGTCAATTTCCACCATTGTCTTCACGATGATGAAGATGTGGATGGGGGTCCAGCAGATGATGAAGGCTGCCACGACCACCAGGACCATGCGGGTGATCCGGCGCAGGTTCCTGTCCTTCTCTTTGGAGCCCGAGAGCAGACGAACGCTCTTGAGCCGCAGGATCATCAGACCGTAGCAGATGGTGATGACCAGGACAGGAACCACGAAGGCGAAGATGAACACGCAGATTTTCATCACTGTGTCCCAGTACCGCTCAGGTTTGGGGAATCTGAGCATGCAGGCAGTGGTTCCTGAGGAGTTAAAACAATTAGAACTTTAATAGAGGGCCATGTGGAGAGGCTAATTTAAGTTAATAACCCAGCTCAAATGTATTCTCTTTCACGACATGATCACTCTCCGAAATCAACGCTTGCCAATAAAAGTGCTAAAAAGCTTGTGCTGATAAGTGAAGTTTTTATACAACGATGGTAATTTTAGGCATTTTTCCCCACTTCATGAATAAAAATCCCTCACCTTTTTCTGTCACCTTGGTAACAGCCATGATCATCACAGGGACTCCAACAGCAGAGGAGAGGATCCAGATGCAGACATTGATGAGCTTGGCTTTGGCGGGCGTGCGGAAGTCCAGGGCCCTCACCGGATGACAGACAGCGATGTAGCGGTCCACACTCATCATGGTGAGCGTGAAGATGCTGGTGAACATGTTGTAGTAGTCGATGGCGATGACCACTTTACACAGCGCCTCCCCAAAGGGCCATGTGCTCATCAGGTACTTGGCGCTCTGGAACGGGAGGGTGCTGGTGGCGAGAGCGTCGGCGAGAGCCAGGTTGAAGATGTAGATGTTCGTGGCGGTCTTCATTTTGGTGTACCTGGTTGGTTGGAGGAAAAGGCCCTTTTAATTGATTCTGACTCATAGTCGACAGCAACTGCTGTCAGTTGGAGGAGATTTCTTTCATTTTCTTTTGAAGGTTTGCATGCTACTGCATCACAAAGAGGTAGCCGAGTGTGGCTGACTCACGGTTTCCATTAAAACATTTCAAGGTTAGGAACCAATTTGTTTGCTCTAATCCATTTCCTCTGTCAAACTATCTGCTGTTTCCCCTCGAAAAATATCAAACTAATAAAAGAGCTTTGTAGATGTATAATGTTTCTGAGGCGCTACACTAAATGCAGGAAAGACTCTATGCTCAATCCGAGTCCATTAAACTGCACTTCTGTGTGAACAGTCCACCACTGAAAAATATTTCAAAACTCCTTGATTTCAGATTCACACTTTTTTTCCTTTTACCAGTGCCCAGTCTTGTCTGAATGCCAGCTGAACATGTTGTCTGGATGTTTAAAGACGGATTCCTCCACATTATGACAGTCACATTTAATTAAATTGCAGCAACAGGCTCTAAAGGGATGAGCAAAGACAAAGGGATGTCTTGCTTTATATCTTTATCCTTCGCATAAGTACTTATTTATTGCTTTCACAGCAAGAGTGGGCACAATGTGTTTTGTATTCAATTTGTTTGATCATTCTGAAATTGGCAAACCAATGTTTCACTTTCGTCTTCCACACATTTCACCAGGGATTTAGGAAGCAGCACAATGAGAGGATTTTTTTTCAGTGGACATCCACCCATCTCCTCTCATTTAAGCTGCATTAGTTCAACAACAAGTCAACATGGCAGGGATCCTCAAAGTCTCCAGTACATGAATTAGCGAGAGGGAGAACAGTCATTTCTATTGATTTGCAGGTGAGGGGTTCAACATTTATTTCCTATGCAAGTTAATCATCTGAGTGTACCACATAATTCCTGACAGGAATAATTGGTGCAATGAAGTAATTTTGATGCTAAGCTGGGAGGCACACTGCCCTCCCGCTCCTCTTGTGTGTAGGAGGTGTGTGTGTGTGTGTGTGTAGGTGTGTTAGAGAGCAGCTCTCAGATACACTGAAACTGTGTGAAATTATAAGAAGAATTACTATTATGGCCCTAGAATATAAAATATTTCCAGAAGTAAGTGGTGCTTTAAAACAATCCTGATGGTATAAAAAAGACATATTTATCATTTCCATAGTGGGTCTGATGCTATAGTTTCTGTGTGGCTTTTCACTGATCAACAGCAAATTATAGTAGTAAATATCAATTTAGTAATCATATTCTTTATTTTATTCTTATTATTTTATACTTTATTATTATTTACTTATACTTTATTAGGCTATTATGCAATTATACTTACGCCTAAACTAATGAGTTTATGGTTCTTTGTTTATCATATGTTTTCTTACCTAACCACCCCGTACATTACAAGCAGGTTTCCCAGAAGTCCCACCACACAGATGAGAGAGTAGAGAGCCGTGATACAAACTGCGATGATGAGACTTGTAGTGTTCCTTGTTGCAGCCCCGTCGGTCTCGTTGCTCTTTGATGGCACGCGCAGCAGATCCTCAGAGAACGTAACATTGAAAGGAGTTATGGAGAAGGAGTAGCGCTCGTTAAAATCACCAAGAGCGTCTGGAGGAAGAGTGGGTAGCTCCATATCTAAAATCCAGATGAGATCGTAGCGCGCCAAGAAGTCAGATTTCCAAAAGAAATCCGGTACACAGCAGCTCATGGAACCTGGACTGCAAATTTGTAATGAGGCGCCTAGGAGGTTTGCGCTCTCTCTCTCTCTCTCTCTCTCTCTCTCTCTCTCTCTCTGTGTGTGTCTCTGCGCGCTCCCTTGCGCACTTGTGCACAAAGCAAGATGCCAGGAAACTGTTTCCCTGCCCAATCCTTACCCTGCCTAAAGGGATTCCATTTGTGTGCTTTAATTAGCTCTGACATATAATGCTTCATCACATCCTGTTTTTGTTTTTGTTAATTCTCCCTATTATCCCAAGTAACAGATTCTTAGTCCACTACCCACCAGCAGCTCATCAAACAATGTCAGTCAAACCCAATCTGAGCATCTGTCATAGTTATATCTTTACAGCTCAATCAGTCATGTCTTCTTTTATTGAGCCATTCCTCTTATTGCTGCCTGCCTTCAACCCTGAGGTACTTCTTCTCCCACTCTCCATGTCCTGTGGCCTGTGTTAGCGGAGCTCCATTAGGACTGACTGCTCTCACCAAGCGGTCACCTCCTTGAAATTGTCTAACTAAACCGCATGAGAGATGTAATAATTAGCCAGTTGCAAGGCTGATGAAATATTTATGATGGTTTTGATATCCTGTAGCAGCAGTCAAGGGTGTGGATTTTGAAGTCCTACAAATTGTCTTGTTAGCCTTTACATTCGCCACCTGGGTAATTGTGCATGTAATTGTGTTGCATCTGTATGAGCAAACATCTTGATGCAGGCATGAAACAGGCAGGCACATTCATTTGAGAACTCTGTATTTGCTGTGGGTCAATATTTAATCAATGCTGCTCATGTTTAACCAGATACAACAGGCTATGTTCTTTTCTCTAATGGTTCTTAATGCATCTGGAACATTTCTCATCTCCGGATTAAAGAGGTCCTGTGTCGCCATATTGGTTTGTAAAACATTTATGCTTTTGGGTATTAAATTTGTTGAAGCACTCACTGTTCATTTCCAGTAGGGCACACTGCTTGACCTGCTCAACTGACATTATAAATTCTTAATCACGCAAATGTTTGACTTTTAATGCCAAGCAGGTGTGTCTTTTTTCACAATGTTCATCAAAGCACTCATTTATCTGCAGCTGCCTTTTATCTGTAGCCCATTACTGTGAACATCAGAAACCATTAGGATCACGCACCTGCATGTGATTGTGTGCGCTGAAATTGGTGCATGCATGTGCAAGTGTGCAGTCTTTTTGAGTGCGTTTCTCAGGGGTAATTGTTTATTTGAAGACAGACACATTAAAATCCTCCTGCGGCTGTGTCTGTAGTGTTCATAACTGAGGCAGTCTTTATACACTCCACAATGTGACCTTTACAAAATCCGCCTTTAAGCAACTGGCGTCAGCGCAGCACAAACATAGACTGTATATAAAAAGCACAAAGCAGGGACAGTCAGACTGATAGGGCCGGCGTGCTGAACAAAAGCTCTGAAGCCTCACTCTTTACTGTTCCTTCTGAAGTTTGCGTGTCTTCCAATGATGAAGAGCTCTGGCTCAATTTGGGAATTAAGCGAGCTCATTGCTTTTTCATTAATGAGGGAAGTTTGTTTAAAGCGTCTCTTTAGGTTTCTTGCAATGCACAGGTGAGCATAATTCTCAGTATGAGACTGAGTTTTTAGCCTTGGTTGGACGTTAGTTGGTCATTCTGTCAGTCGTTCAGTTGGTCCACCACTTTGGTCCAAACTTAAATATCTCAACAACTATTGCATGTTTTGCTATCAAAATCATTACAGATATTCATGGTTCACAGAGGATGAATCCTAATGAATTTGGTGATCATCTGGCTATTCCTCTAGTGCCACAAGCAGGTCAAAGCTTTCACTCAGCCTGAGAAATACAGTATGTCATCATATTTTATCTGGCTGCATCATCAGGTTAAAATTTCAATTTGTCAAAATCTTTTAGTTATGACCAAGTACTTCCAAAACAAAAGAAATCCCTGTCAGTGTCAGCTTTATTTTTAGTGCTATTAGCAAATGTTGTCATTCTCATGGGTTAAACTAAGATGGTAAAAATTATACCTGCCTAACATCAGCAAGTTAGCATTGTCATGGTGAGTATATGTTAGCATATTGTAGTATTTAGATCAAAACGTACCTGAACGCCTCACAGAGCCGCTGGCATGGCTGTGGACTCAGCTGTGTTGTTCATATCCCTCTATGAATTACTTCTACTTTGTGTTTACTAACAACAATAATACATTTTATTTGGGGGACGCATTTCAGGACACTCAAGGACATCTTACATACAAGGTAATAAAAAGTTGCAATTAAATGAGGTTCATAATTCAAACAGTGCTTAGTGGTAATTACAAGGGAAATGAGGAAAATGGTAAACATTAAACCTGCTAAACATCAGCATGCATGTAACAGCCTCACAGACAAAAAGAGACAAAAAAGAAACACAGGAGTGGCTAGCATCAATAGTGAAGTTATGAAAAAATTTTAACCTTTTGTGTTACAGAAAGTCTGAGAGTTTGTACAAAATCTGATGAAACAGATGACAGATTTTCAGTCAGAGGGTGAGTACCTTTAGTGAGTGAGATGAGGGGAGGGAGATAGTGGAGGCGGAGAGGTGTTATCAAACAGACACATATGTTTCATTGAATCCAGCCCACGACAGCTCCAGAGGGCTCGGTAGTAGCTTCTGGTCTCGACAGTTATCTAGCCTCTGTATACCTGACATAGAAGCCCTGATCACAACACTCACGCTCAACAACAACAGTCCAAGTGGGACAGCACATTCCACCGGCATGAAATGGCTTACACAGCAGTTCAGGAAGTAAATTTCGCTAAGTTTAATTTCACTTACAGCTGGGTGGGAGAACAGCATATGACAACAGCAGCTGTGATGATATCCAGGGTCAGATTAGAGGGCTGTGCCCCTAAAGAAGAGGCCTAAAAATACTATGACGTATGAGTGCAGGGTAGGTGCTCTCTGTAATGGCAGCAGACTGAGTGTGTATGATGAGCCATATCTTTCTCTGCACACAGTTTTGAGATGTGGCGGTAATGTGTTGAAAAAGAGAGAGAAATGGGTCTGGACGTACAGTAGCCGACACAAACAAAATGCTGCTGTTGTGTTTATGTTTTCTCTTTTTCCCCTCAGGGAGAATCACTCACCATTAAACTGTACAGACAGCATGATTACTCTCATCATTCACCAGCACAATGGAAACCTTGGGAAGCATTACGCTGCCTCCCTGAACCCATCACATTCGTGGCAGGGAATAGCCTACAGTGTGCAGACCATTTGAAATAGGCCTGATGTTGGGTTTTTTGCATAAGGGTGGGGTGATGACGTTGCATGTTTGATTTTTAAATGATTACACAAGACAAACAGACTTCTGTCAGCTACTGATAATCGATTCAGTCTAAACAATACACTGGCAAATCAGCTTGTATCGACTGAACTGCCATCCTTGTTACAGTCATTTTATATTTTATCGCTGCTATTATGAATGGATGCATTTTATATCTGCTATCAGGTTGCAATATCTACTACAGCAGTTCTGATATATACTTCATAACTTCAGAAAGGTCAGAGATAAAATGAAATATGGTTCACATATATCTTGACATTTTATTTCTCCACGTTGCCAGTATCTTTCCGCTCACACAGCAATTGACAGTAGAGGAACTATACGAAAAGGCACGTGGTGAGGCTTTGGTGGTGTTTTCTGTTACCTGTTTGTTATTGTAGCTGAAGCGCAGAGGGGGAGTGAGCTTCTGCTGGGTGTCACATTGCATCACTATCTCGCAATCACACACCAAGCCACGTACAGCGTAAGTCTGATCTGTTCAACCTCAGGTGTGAACTCATGTTATCTGCTGACTCCTGATAGGCAGTCACTGTTATTAGTTTCTACAAATACTCGCAAATTAGAGCAATTTCTGTTGGACAGGGTCATTTGATTTTGCCGTCACACATGTCATGATGTTATTGATTCACTGCAGGATTGAAAAGTTGCAGATCAATAGCTGTGTGAGGGTGGTCTTTCACTGTTATAGATACAGTTCTGCATGACACTGACTTTACACAAACTGGAAAACAGACAAAAGAAATGTCACTATGACACAGAGAAACCATACAATTGAATCTGACAACCTGACTATTCTTAAGTGTTCAGTTTTCTGTGCAGTAATCCTCAAGGGATGGGACATCCATACTATTTACAAAGACATGTCTTTGCACATCAATCCTGTAGGTATGCTTTTGACTGAATAAGCAGCACAATAAACCAGAGTAAAAGAGAAAGTCATTAGAGGGACAAGACTGGAGCAGAAGAAAACAGCAGGCTCCCTCTCCATCACAGCACAGAGAGATTGTGCAGCCAGCAATCTGATTCATTTTAGAATCTGTGATGAAGTCAGAATTTTGTTAAATGTGATAGGATGTCTCTATAGCAAATGAAAAGTGTGTGTGTGTGTGTGTGTGAGAGAGAGTGTGCAGGTAGTGTCAACAAAGCATAGCCATTTATTTCCTTGGTGACAGAGACACAGAGAGATAAACAAGAGTACAGCCTCAGATATGTTTTAGCTTTTTTTTCTTTTTATTTATTTACATCTGTCATCGAAACAACACTCTTTCCTTTATAAAACGTGAGGGTGCAGCAAGTACGTTTATGCATTATTAATTTGTGGAGAAGTCACAGATGCCCTGCTGTGGTATTATGCTGTCATAATGCAGAACAGAATGAGCCATGCTGTGCCCTGCAAGTCTGCCTCACACTCAAGATATTTACTCTCTCTTAGTAGAGAAACACGCATCAAAAAAGTATATTTTAAAGCATCTTCAAGCTCGAGAAATGTATGGATAATTGCAACACGATTACATCATGTCAGAGTATAATAAATAACTGCACTGTTGGTGTAATGGATGCAATGAAGAGCTGGTTACAGCTAGATTATTATACATTTACGGATCCAGGGACTGTATTATAGGGGGAGAGGGTCAGAAAAGCGGGAGGGTTATATATTTTTGACTCCAGAGACTGGTCTGTGGTTGAGTTTAGCCAAAAAAAGCAGTTTGGTTAAGATTAGGGAAAAATTTGACCTTGAACTCACATTTGATAGGAGTTTTGCTTTAAGATGTTTTATTACACAAAGTTTGTGAAACCAATAACCAAAATATTCATCCATTCTGACATTGTGTCATCAGAATTATAGTAAAAATAAATGATTTCCCTTTTTGCTGGGGACCCCCTGGAACCTCCTCAAGGACCCGTGGGGGTATCGGGAACCTACTTTGAGAGCGACTCCTAAACCAGACCACAGTGTTTCACTAACCTTAACAAAGTGCTGCCAGTGCCTAAATGTAATATAAAAAGGTTATTAATGCTGCAGTCACTACGAGCAGATATTGTATTGCAGGATCATTTATTTTGGTGGAAAACAAATGAAGTAGGTTGTCACTGATACTAATACATTCGGTATCAACATGTTTGCAACTTGCCAGTTAATTAGCAACATTTCCTCATTATGTTAATGAGAAATGTAATCCAGTTGGCATTACGTTCCCTTCTAAATGTATTTGCTGTTGCAAATTTGTTGTGTATAAACGTGTCTAGGAGACAGTGTTGGGTTTTGAGATATTGGGGCTGAGGGTATTACAGTTTTTTCAGTCAGGGGGAGGGTCTATTAACAATGGCTTGGAGGGCCTTGCTTTTTTATAAAAAAAAGTATAATTCTGAAAATTTTCAATGGGCAACCACGAAATTAAGGTACTTAGGCTTTTATGAGCCTGTAAACTACTGAGTTATCAGCACAACTAGGCAATCACGTAGAGGAAATTGGAACATTGTTATTTGCGTAGTGTTATAGCGTCCTCAGAGGATTCTTCCTGCACTTTGTGATCTTTTTCTTTACAAACGCACGCAGGATTAGTACAGACCTGGAACCTGACTGATACAGTAGCACTTAAATGTAGACACTTCA